AGACCAGGTCAAATACAGCTCAGAAAGAGGTCTGAGACCAGGTCAGAAACAGATGTGAGATCAGGTCGGAAACAGGTCTGAGATCAGATCAGAAACAGGTCTGAGATCAGGTCAGAAACAGGTCTGAGACCAGGTCAGAAACAGGTCTGAGACCAGGTCAGATACAGGTCTGAGATCAGATCAGAAACAGGTCTGAGATCAGATCAGAAACAGGTCTGAGACCAGGTCAGATACAGGTCTGAGATCAGATCAGAAACAGGTCTGAGACCAGGTCAGAAACAGGTCTGAGACCAGGTCAGAAACAGGTCTGAGACCAGGTCAGAAACAGGTCTGAGACCAGGTCAGAAACAGGTCTGAGATCAGGTCAGAAACAGGTCTGAAACCAGGTCAGATAAAGGTCTGAGACCAGGTCAGACACAGGTCTGAGATCAAATCAGAAACAGGTCTGAAACCATGTCAAATAAAGGTCAGAAACAGGCCTGAGACCAGGTCAGATACAGGTCTGAGATCAGATCAGAAACAGGTCTGAGACCATGTCAAATACAGGTCAGAAACAAATCTGTGATCAAGTCAGAAACAGGTCTAAGACCAGGTCAGAAACTGATATGAGATCAGAGCCCCTCCCCCCACTGGTACTTGGACCCACCTGAGTTGATGCTGCAGCGCCCCGTCCCTCGGACGATGCAGAGTGGAGCAAATCCAAACACCAGAGTGATGGACAGCAGAACCACCAGAGCTCCCAGTTTTATCTCCAGAGCCGGAACATCAGCTGGGTTTACCGGCAGTGCCACTGCTCCCCCGCGGAACTGGAGGGCTGAGGAGGAGCTTCCACCTGCCGCCAGCATCATTCAGCTTCTCCGGACCCCCTCAGTCAGACAGGCTTAAAACATTGGTCCAGACAAGATCAGAATCTGTCAGGAGAAACATGAAACACATAGGCAGAGATCCCAAGGGGACGCACCCATTAACCATACAGATGTCTCCCCAATAATCACGGTAAACAACACATATATATTCAATGACATAGTATTGCCCAATCAAAGCAGAGCACAAACGATCCACATCCAAACAATATCTCTTTAATTGTTGAAAGATTGTGACCACCCCTTAAGGTGAGCAGAAAAGTGAATTGCTGAGGAACCATCGACATATATACATATGTCATATGTATGAGGAACATTAAAAAAAACACAAAAATTGTTGCTTTTCTTAGAACCTCCACATCAGCACTGTGAAAAGCAAAAAGGAAACCATGCTGAAGTTAGTTTTAAGTGACAGATCTCCATCCTGGTTCAGGTCCGATCACAGCTAAATCAACAGATTTTATTTATAGTCACCTCAGGATGGTTCGATTAGCCAGATAACTTTCATATTTAATATTAATATTTTCATAGAAAAATTATGTTTTCTTTAAATGCTTCCACATCATGTGACTTTATTTTTAGATGATGTTCTCTCTCTTTATTGTGAAACGTTTACATAGATGTTGTAGTACTGTAGTACTACTTTATCTTTGTTTATGTAATGGTACATAATGTTGGTTAACATGCTGGAGGCCCACCCTGCAAGAGACATTTTTTTACATATCCCCCAAAAAGATTTGCTTTCTGAAATTTTACAGTAAATCCAGTCTGAGCCTCTGAGGATCCAGTTCAAGGATTCACAGGTTCTTCCTCTAGAGAGAACATCAGGAACTACTCATGAAATCTGGAAAAGCTTAGTTATTTAAAGGATCAGGGAACATGTTTAAACTTGTCCGCCATGACCTCTGATCCCTGACTTTGTTGGGCAGACAGGTGTTCTCGTCATCAGAGCATCTCTGGAGGAGAACCCGGACCAGGACAAGATCTGTGGAATGGATCAGATGGATGTTAACGGGAACTATCTACATTCTGTCAGAGAAACCAGAAGAACCTCTAGATCTGACCCAGAATCTGCACCTGGACCCAAATACAAAGAGCAGCAGAACCAGTTCCATCCAGTAAACCCAGAAGTTTCAAACAAAAACGCTTCAACGAGGACCGATTGATCCACTTTACGCCCAGAATCAGAACCAGGGGATCTTTTAATCTGGAAACTCCTCCGACAAACATCAAGCGAATCGATAAGACACGAGGCCCCTGAGACCCGACGTTGGACCTGAGGCGAGACTTGCCAGGTGAGAAGGACCAGACACGTGGCCTACCTGCTCCAGCCGCGTCCCGGTGAGTCCTCTTCCCGTTACTGGGAGTTTGTCCGGGAAGTTCTGATTCAGTTCCCATCAGCTGATCCCGCCAGCTGTCACGCGAGCCACAACACCACGCACTTCCTGTCTTCAAACTAAAAGCTTTTCCAAATTTTGTTTTTTTCAGCAAATGAATATTACCTGCAGATGCCTTTTGAAACTTTGTGACACACATGCACGCGCCAGAAAAATTTATTTCGTGTTCAATTAAAAAGTCGAACACATCTCAGTTCAATTAATAAAATACATCTAAAATAAATTGGTTTATTATTGATCTGACAGAATCAACTAGAATGAACTTACGTAGAATGAATTTTGACTCAGAAAAGTGAAGCTCAATGTGATACGTTAACCAAAATAAATATAATTGTAACTGAATTTATCAAATGAAGACTGATGAGTTGAATGTGTGCTTTTATTTTGGTGGTCACAGGCCTTGTTTCCGGTGTAAGTATGTTTAACTTCTTTCAGCTAAAGTAGGAGTCGCGCTTCATCACATATTTACTTAAGAGTCAAAGGTCAAAGACATGAAATGATTCAGACCAAAGTTTTCAGCTGATGATGAAGGTTTGAACATCATCATCAGCTGGTTCTGAATCAACATATGTCTTCAGTCTTACAGCAAAAACACCCAGATGATCTTTATTCTGAGGCTGAAGGATTTAGTCGTTTCATTTCGAGAATGTTGATATAAAGTTCATTATGAAGCAACCAGTTGGTTTTATAAAACGGCTTAATAAGAACTGTAAGTTATGTGAAACGTGTTGACTGCATTATTATTGTTGAAGCAGAATTCTGTTATCACCACTATGGGGCGCTCGTCTGCTGCTCAGGTACGCCTTCAGAAAAACAGAACCTACAGAAATCTTCTAGTCCTGGGTTCTCTGTTCCAAACCAGAATCCTTCAGACCTCTAACCCGAATAACATCTCTTATAAACGTTGGCAGAATAACAAACAAATAAACATTTGAAGCTTAAAAAAAACATGATCATGTTCATTCAGCCATCCATCTTGGACATGTGTATTTGCTCTTTTTCAGACGCACCGACTGGGGCGGTAAATGGCTAAAAGGTTGACTAGCATGAGCGTTTTTAGGCCATTTTTGGGGGGTGCCGAAGCACCCCGAAAATGTGAGAATTTAAAACATTTAGTTTTACTATATGTTATTTTAAAGACAATTGTAAAATATAAAAAGCATAGTGTGCTTGGTAGAAACGTTAAATTTCAACAACAAAAAATCCTGATTCTTCCAGCTCAGTTTTTGTCATCTGATCCATTTTAGTGATGAATTTAAATTTCTCAGACACAAGCCAAAGATTGGAAAACCTGTCTGATAGCTCTTGCAGGATGGTGTCAACAATGACATTGAAAACCGTGCACCTAAAGTGTATTTCGGGTTCTTCTCCGTGATGAGCATTGCTGGAATTGTCATCTTGGTAACTCTTTTGCTTCTTAAAACATCTCTGTTTGAATTCTGGAGAAGCATCCATTTCAACTGCTATCCTGCTTGCAATTACAAGTGACTTTTGGTAGCCCTCTTCTCTATAATTGAGTAAGAACGTTTTCAGAGAATCAATTAGGCTAATAGCTGTGTCAATTGAGACATCTGCTGCCTGTAGGGCCTTGCTTGCAAAGTTCATCTCTGACAATAAGTCATACCAAATGAGGAGGCACACAAGAAACTCCCTCCTTACAATCTCATCAGACAGTGACTTTGCCTCTGAGACAATTTTGCTGTCTCCTGCCACTTCTGCAAGTTCATAGAGCATCTAGAATCCCCCCAACTGGAAACATACAGCTTTGACTGAGTCTAGCTTTGCTTCCCACCTGGTATCACTCAGAGGTTTCAGTGTGATGTCAACAAATTCTGTGAGAATGGCCACCTCTTCACTGAAGAGGAACACATAGTGTACAATCTTTGAAGAGTGCCAAAGAAGGTCAGATACTCTCTATTAGATGAAGCTGCATCACACATCAAAAGGTTCAGGCTGTGGCTACAGCAGGGACTGAACAGAGCCTCTGGACATCTCTGTTGTATCAAAGCTTGGACACCCTTGTTTATCCCTCTCATATTAGAGCCATTGTCATAGCTTTGGCCCCTACAATTAGCCAAGTCCAACCCCAGACTATCCAGCACTCCTGTCAGTGTGTCTGCAAGGCCTTTCCCAGTTGTGTCCTTCACAGCCGTGAACCCCACAAAAGACTCATTAATACTGACATTCTTCTTCTCATCAGTATGAATATACCGTATGATAACTGAGGCCTGCTCTTGCTTTGAAATATCAGGAGTGCAGTCCAGTTCCACTGCAAAGTACTTGGAGGCTTTAATCTGGGCACAAATTTTACTTAAAACACATTCTGATATTGAATCCAAAAATTCATTCTGAGTGCACCAAGACAGATATCCGGTGTTTTTTTGTTTTTTTTTTGGAGGCAAGTTTTTCTAAGATGCTCTGCCAGTGTGACATCATACCTTGCGATGAGCTCATGGATACCTAGAAAATTTCCATTTTTAGGATTTCCTAGCTGCGCATTTTTTCCCCTCAGCGGCAGTTTCTTTCAGCAAGGAAGAGTATGCAGTCAATCACTCGAGTCAAAATACTTCTCCAGTGTGTCTTTTCAGCGGGCGTGGCTCTCTGTAATTCACAATCAATAGTTTTACCTATGCGTAAGCGAGATGCCAATTCTTTCCACATCAGATTGTCATGATGTGGTGTGGGTGGCGTCGGACCATGTGTGGTGGAGCTGATCAGGAGGCAGGAATGCAGGCATGGATAACATAAAAATGGATTTAATAGCAGGATACGGCAGGATACAACAAGAACAACACGACAAACAACAATGATCCGACACTGACACATACAAGACGGGAGGTATAAATACACAGGGAAACAATCAGGAACACATGGGCAGGTTAACAAAAGGCAGGTGAGACCAAAAAACTAAACAGGAGGCAGGGGAGAGTCACAGTCAGAGGGAGGCAGGAGCAGATCGTGACACAGATAAGCATTTATGTGATAACCACTAGTTTCATGGTGCATCAGGGTTTTTGAAAGACACTGCCAGTTGTTATAACCCGTCACAAGGTGTGTGTCAGCAACTCTAGCTTCACCAAAAAGCTTACAAGCAAAACAATAGACTTTTAGTACTTTTGGAGTACAGTAACCAATCCCGTTCCACTTTCTCTCCATTGGACAGTAAACGAAAACAGTGTGCTTTGGAAAAACACCGTTTACTCTTCTCTGATCTTGGATATGGCCCACCAGGACATTTCGGTGGGCCATTCTGAACCATGTACTGCCTCAATGTGTCCCCAATTTCATGTGGTGAAGGCCATTCAGATGGATCTTTTAAATAAGGTCTTTCACCAGCCCTCTCCTCTGCACTTCTCTGTTCCTCTTCCTCTTTATCATGTTGACCTCTTTGTTCTTCTCCCTCTTCTTTGTGTAGACCTCTATGTTCTCTCTCTCCTTCATCATGTGGATCTCTCTGTTTCTGTCCCTCTTCTTCATCATGTAGACCTCTCTGCTCCACATTCTCCTCCGTAGTCATTGACTTGCCTTGTCTGCCTGCACTTATTTTTCTTAAAGGACAAAAAGATGGTCAGTAAAATTCTAATCATACTAGAATTCCAGGTTTTTAATGGCCATTCTAGTATATGTATTCCTATCTGTCATGGTCTCAAGCATTATTTAACAGCTATAAATTACCACTCTTGAAAATGCACTTGATCATTATAAATAATATTTAAAAATTGATCACTTGGTATTAAGTGAGTGTTCACTTCCACCTAGTATTAGACCAACCTGTTGCTTTCCTATCTCTGTTCTGATTCTTTATATCTCTTTTTTCTTCTTTCTCTCCATCCGCACATCTGAATAATAAGAAATTTGAATTTAGAAATATTAAAAAAATACAAGACTCAAACTACATATAAAAACATTATGTTTTAGTTTAAAATTGCAGGAATTTAAGAGCAAATCTGAAGTGCATCACCCAATTCAATAATTTATCAGTATTATCACTCAACATCCAATTAAACAAAGGATTACTGTCAGAAAAACTAAATAACCACCCCTGGTTCCTTTATTTTTCTTGTGATTATCTATTACGTATTTTTTATTAGATCTAGCTAATCAACCCCCCCCCCCCCCTCCCCCTCACCACCACCACCCCCGCTGCTCTCACAGAGATCCGACTACTCCCAGAAGCCTGTGTGAGATTAAAACCCTGATCTTGTGGTCCATACAGAACACCCGTAACCTGTCATTTTACTAGAGGCAGGCTAGCAGCTTCAGCTAATAGAGCTAATAGGAATAATGCCTTCTTGCGAGATGACTCTCCTACTGTCTTTCAATCACTTAGAAAGGTTTTTTTTCATCCCTACGAAATCATTTTTCCCTTTCCCTCTTCCGTTTTTTTTGTGCCCAGGAGAGCTTTTTTTCGGACTTTCCATCTCTAGCTAACCTAGCTAGCTGATCAGATGACAGTAGATATCATTCAAATGAAAACACTCGCGCCCCAGCGCTTAATCGCGGGCGCACGCGCTGGACTCCTCAAGAGTGTTCACGTTCTGTGTGTGTGTGTGTGTGTGTGTGTGTGTGTGTGTGTGTGTGTGTGTGTGTGTGTGTGTGTGTGTGTGTGTGTGTGTGTGTGTGTGTGTGTGTGTGTGTGTGTGTGTGTGTGTGAGTGTGGGGCGGCAGGGCTGTGGTGGGGCGCCCAATCGCTTGCTTCTGTTAATAATTATTTAATTTACACATGCACAATAGCTATGCAACACAAAAAAGCCCTTCCCCCCCATCAATGCTTAAGCGCACCCTCCAGCGCGGTGCCCCTATGCGTCGCATACACTGCATACCCACTTTTGGCGCCACTGACTGGTAACTTTAACAACCGAGCGTCTGCGTCGTTTTGGCTGCGCACGCGCACTTAACGCTTGCACTTAATTGAGCAGCCCTCCTGGCCCCGCCCCCTTCCACACGTCACGTGAACAGCGTCTGCGCCTCTCTTTATGACGTCACAAAGCCTCAAACTTCATTACCGTCATATACCTTGACCAGCGTCGGATCAGTCACAGTTCACGCCTCAGAGCAAACAGGTAGCATGGAAAACCTACATCATCCTCATATAGAACCACTGAAAGAAAGGGAGAGATTGTTAATAAACTTATTTAATGTGGAACAAAAACTCAAAGATTTGAAAGAGCGCTTTGTAAGAGAGACTGAGCGTTCTGCTGCAGAGAAATTAGAGCAACTGGACACTTATGAAGAGGAGTTAGAAAAATATGATCTTGATTTAATTTTAGTAAATAGAGATGCCAAAGATACAATTTTAGCCCATAAGCGTAATTTAAGTAAACAGGGGCATTTACTTTGGGAACTCGAAGAGGAAAATAAAGTCCTGCAAAATTACAAATTACAACATGAAAACGAAGCCCTGGAGGAGAAGATTTTAGATGACTGTCTCTCAAAAATTAAATTAGTACCAACCTTAGAGTTAAGAGCAACTCCTATGAAATTAAACCAAATGCCTAGTCGTAAGAAGGACTGGATTTTAGGTGCTATCTCACAAAATAAACAAAAAATTAACAAACTGGAAGCCCTGAAGTGTTCAAATCAAGAAGGCTCGTCAAACCTAGAGGAACAGAAAAAGAGAGAGAATCAGTTCCAAGACTATTTGTTGGCAAAATACCGGCATTTACCATTAGATGTTAAGGAGGAGTCTTGCTCTGCGATTGACAGAATAGAGTATGTAGACTCAAAGTTAAAACGGTTAGATAAAGCGAGACTTTCAGCTCTCAAGCAAAACTCAGCGGCGAAAAATACGTTGAGAAAGGAATTGACTGACATAGAGGAAGAAAACATGTCAACTTATCAAACAAACGTTGTTCGGAGAACTAAGGGTGAAGTTAAAAATGAACCACGCTTAGACTTACAAGGAATACCAATGAAATTAAGGTATACAAGTCATAGGAAGTACTTACCTTAAATCTGCATCACGCCCGGCATTCTAAACCCTGGGTTCGAAAATTTTAAAATCAGTCCTTCAAACACAATTATTCATTGATGGCATGTACTTAGAGACAGATACAGGAACATGGACATTGTAAAACCACGTTCACATGTTTGTAGCAAGATGCTTTTAGCCATAGCTAATTTACAGCACTTTAGATGGGCTGTTAAAACAGTCGAAAGAAGTTTATAATCTTGTTTTTCATCGTGGGCATGCTTTGCTGTCCACTATAGTAAATTGCGAGGGGGTGGGAGGGAAGCTAATGAAGAAACCAGTTTTTAGCATTTCATCGTATTTGTTTAGGTAAGTTCACACGTTTGGCTGCAATAACAGAGAAGGGCGTAAATTCAGCTTGTCTTTCTGTTCAATACATTTCTTGGACTCACCACTTGTGAAAGGAGCCAAAGATGTTGGGTGCAATGTGTGATGTAGCCGAAGGAGAGACTCTTCGGCTGGGAAGGGAACGCTTTGGGAATTCCCCCGAAAGAGCTGGCCCAAGTGGCTGGTGAGAGGAAAGTCTTGGCCTCCCTGTTTAGGCGACTGTCTCCGCAACCTGACCCTGGATAAGTGGCCAAAAATGGATGGATGGATGAAACTTTGTTATGGCGCTTACACAGTAGCGTCGGCACGGCCCCAAAAGTTACCGAACGGCACCAGAATTTGGCTTCGCACACAGGTCAGATTCACGTTTTCGGTGCCGAGGCAACTCTTTTTTCAGACCTCCTCCCCAGCGGTCAGACTGGGACCGAGGCGACACTACCAACTGATTGGCTAGCTGAAATTATGCCTACTGCCTTTGATCTGCCAGCGGGGTGGGGAGGGGGGCGGGGTCCGCATGCGTGGTTCATTTTTACTGAACACGGTACATGAGAAAATAAAAGGTAAAAACATTAAAGTAGAAAACAAATGGGTAAAACAAGACATAAAGAGACCAATGAAAGCAGGGAATTAAAATCAACATAAATGAAGCCGGCGGCTAACAGATAAGTGTGTAAACCAGTGGGAAGTGTGGTGGTGGTGGTGGTGGGGGTGGGGGTGGGGGGTCACAAGACAGCGTTTCCCTGCCGTAGACGAGGACTGCCAGGTCTCCGATGTAGCCTAGTTGTCTTTAGATTGGCTGTTAAAATAGTCGAAAGAAGCAGGAGATCCATTTTCTGCAGCTGGAATAGCCAGGATTTAGTTCTGTCATGCTAGGTGGCAGAAAGACCGTTTACACACTTTGGAACTTATAAGAAACTTTTGAAGAAGCCAGTCTTTAGCATTTCATCATGTTTATTTAGGTAATTTGACAGTCAAATGTTAATAGTCTGCTGAGCGGTTGACTGCGCTAACAGATAAGTGTGTAAACCAGTGTGAAGTGGGGTGGGGGTTGGTTGCCCAAGGCGCTGAACACGGTACATGAGGATAAAAAAAGGTAAAAACATTAAAGTAGAAAACAAATGGGTAAAACAAGACATAAAGAGACCAATGAAAACAGGGAATTAAAATCAACATAAATGAAGCCGGCGGCTTACAGTGGGAAGTGTGGTAGTGGTGGTGGTGGTGGTGGTGGTGGTGGGGGGGGGGTCACAGGACAGCGTTTCCCTGCCGTAGACGAGCACTGCCAGGTCTCCGATGTAAACTGAGTGACTTGAAGTCCGCAGAGAGTTGAGCTTCTGTCTGGGGACTTTGACTCTCCTGACACAAGAGACACCTGCAAAACAATTAGCCACACTGATAAAGTCAAAATCGTCAGACATTTTGACCGACTTACCAAAATAAATTACTTTTTCAAAACCAAACACTTCACACTCTCTGTTGACAATTCTATCTGAGTATGTATGTAACAGATGTATTCTGATGTTTTATAATAATTCATAATAATGATAATGATCTGGTGGTTTCCTGCCACCACAGTCATGTCCCTGGTGAATGATAGTGTATTACATTTTGTGTTTATGTATTTCAGACTTTTTAACATGGACAAATGTGTCCCTCACTGTCCTACACCTCTTCATGCAGTCCGACTCCTCACCTCTAAACTCATGTTTCCCCTACTTCTATGAATAAAACGATTGCTCGGTGTCATTGTAAACATTTATACTTTTGGACTTTTTCCGAGAGACTTTATTCAACCTGATACATACAAATTCAGAAGGTGTGAAAATGGTGACAACTAAAGTTTACACCACCACCCCTATTCTAGTGCAATACAAGCATTACCAAGTCAGCAGAGTCCACCTGAGGAGACGCGGGTGCAGAAAGTTGCAGTTCTGATCTCGCTGGTGTTCGTACAGGTGTTTGCACGAGTGTTGATCTGGCAGATGCACTGCTTGAGATCAATGACAATAGCTCAGATAAGTCTCGTAAGTTCTGCCCGACTGCTGGAAGCTCTGTTGAGAATGAAGATATAAATAATTATTTAAAAACATTAAAGCCCCATGTCTGCTATTTAAGCAAACTCTCAAACCATACAAAAAAAAAAAACAAAGTCAGTCATTTTTTGTGCAACTTTAAGATAAATAAAATCCTAATCTAGTTATCTTGTCTCTACATGAAAAGACTGATCATATAAACATACCTTTCATTGCTTCTATTGGGTGTTTAAAGTTGTCTTCTTTCAGCCTTTTATTCTCGGCTATTAACGGCTTTATTTGCCTTTGTGCCTTGCTCCAGTTCCTGGATGGCAGCTCGTCATCTGATAACTCCTCATATTCGGTTGGGGACTGCAAGACACAGAAATCAACACCAAAACACACACAACATGTTAGTGTCATGTGTTTCAGACACAAGTAGCATGTTTACAACTACTGCTTGTAAACATTCAAATGTGATAAATTACCTCTAAATCTTTTTGTCTTGCCATCAGATCCTTCTTCAAGTCTTCAATCATTTGGTCTGCAGCCTCTTTTGAAGGACAGGATGCCGTTTAAAATTTTTGCTGCAAAATTTCAGAGTTTATAGTATATGAGCATTGATGCAAATTATAATACATGTGCTAAAAGGAAATATTTAGTACTAGAATACTCAGAGTATAGTGATACAATAACTTTTTAAGTTTTTTAAATAAAGGTTTCAAAGCAGTTCATAGGAATATATGAATATTATCATAACATAGTTTGTAAAAGTGTCACTTATTTAAGGTGTTGTATGCAATTGCACTCAATTAATTTGAGAGCTGTCCATTTCCACATCTTTTAATCAATTAATTTACCTTTTTTGATTGTTGACTCTCTTCCTCATTGTCCATCCACCTGCTGTTGGGCTTTATCTTCCTCTTTCCTCCCCTGTCTTCCTCTCTTTTCCAGATGTCCTCACCCTTTATGAAAGCCTCCCTCTGTTGGCACAGGTCAGTGTAGTTGTCTATGAGAAAAAGATTATTGGTATAATAAACAGACGATGAGTAACTGTGATAAAACATTTCACCCTTTAACCAAACAGAAGCATTGAGGAGCCATAAACATATTTTTTTCTCATTTATAAAATATTGAGCCTACACTTACATATAATAGGTTAAAATTAGGAAAATGTTACAGGGTGTGGGAAATGCAGAGTAAAAGATTTACCACTTTTCTCACACCATCAAACAAGTGAGCATGGTTGACAGAGCTTGGCTGTGAATGCAGTGACGTGCGGTGAGGTTCAGGACTGGGGAGGCACTGGCTGGAGTGGACTGGAGTCAGACTTACAAATACACAATCCCCGAAGCTTCTATTGATAGAATGAGACTAGAGGCGTTCATCTCTGCCTCCAGTCTGATGGCGCAGCGCCTCACAATAGAAATGGGGCTTTGGCTCGTGCGCCCTGCCATGTGCGCAGGAGTGAGAGCAAGGTAGCTAGTTCATCGCCTCCCCTTGGGCTTAAGTATTTGATCAGGAAACGGGTAAATTTCAGCAATTTTGACCATAAACATGTTGAAATCAAACATAAACCAGGCAGTCAGTGGACACATTGATTTCCTACTATATCATTATTGGTCTAAATAGTCACGATGACTGCCTTCCCTACTCATGATAAATGATAAATGACCCGCACTTGTATAGCACCTCTCAGAGTAAGGACTCCAAAGCGCTTTACACTACAGTGTATCATTCATCCATTCACACACACATTCACACACTGATGGTGATGAGCTACAATGTAGCCACAGCTGCCCTAGGGCGCACTGACAGAGGCGAGGCTGCCGAGCACAGGCGCCACCGGTTCCTCCGACCACCACCAGACCACACGTGACTGCATGAATGGAGAGAGTGATGGTTAAAAACATATATAACTTATTTATGTCGTGTGTTACCCTATCAGTTAGTGTGACCGGCCAAAAATGTTTAGGTAACAGACAAGATAACATTTATAAGCTAGGTGTATATCCTGGTTCACAAAACCCACGATAGCCATAACTGTAACTGCCTTCTGTAATCTTGTAAATAACATGTCTGTGTAGCTAAAACAAATATAACTGTAATTTTTTCAGTCTCTTGCCCAGCACTCCCTTGAAAATGAGGTTTTTAATCTCAAAGGGACCTTCCTGGTTAAATAAAGAATAAATAAACAAGGCTAAAATTGATATCATGCATGCACAGACACACACACACACACACACAAACACACACACACACACACACACACACACACACACACACACACACACACACACACACACACACACACACACACACACTGTCTATAAACAGAACCGCTTTAAGCTTTTTAGTTTTCTACCACTAGTTTTTAAACAAACACGTTTAAAACTTCGTAGTTCTCCCCATTTTCTCTTCCTGTTGAAAAACCACAGCCGGCGCGCAAAGCATGCTGGGATAGCCTTGTTCTGTGAGAATACGTTTTCTGCATGTAAACGAGTACTGTGGTAAAAAATGTGGTAAAGATCTCTGTCTGAAAGTGACCAATCACATTAGGGAAGGCGGCTCCTTGGAACCCGCCCCCCAAAGTGTGAAAAGTGAAACTTGTCCGATAGAGCGGAATTTCTACTCGAGAGCAGAGCAGGCTGCGCGAGCGTGTTTTAACAGTTCCACGCGCGTAGTACCCACACTTACGAGTGACAGGAACAATTGTCTGTGTGTGACTGGATACAATCTGCTCTCGGGTCTTTGTAAACACGTGCAAGGTGCTTTTTCGCACTCGCGGATAGTTTAAAACACGCACGGAGGACATTTGGAGCGCTAGTGGATGGGAACTTGTCCTTTCACGGACGTTTAATTATCCTCTCGTGATTGTGCGTGCTCTCGCGAGACCTTATTGACATAAAATAGACTCCATATAATCCAACTTTAATTGGGTTGTAGCATCACACTTTATAGCGTAGCGACTGCAAATTTAAAGAGCAAGTAACGTCTAAATTACCTTTTTTTTCTGATAAACTTTATAAATGAGTGTCTAATAGTGTTTAAATGTGTGTATTCATTATTTTAGCATTTTGGTGCATTTTCTTTAAAAATTAAAAATTCTGCCTAAATACCACAGCATAGTGCCACCTTCAGCTTAAAACATAGAGTTTGAGTCATTTTGAATGTGGCAAGGTGGATGCACAAGGGCCCAGGCAGGATTTGATCCCCAAACTCCTGGGTGAGAGTCATACGCACTAACCAGTCAGCCAAAGGGACATCCGCTTGGCACAGTAGCCAGGGCGCATGATCAATCGGGACATTGTGACAGGACGCTCACACTGTCACATCAATACACTTTAGCCAATGGTTAAAGAGAAAGATACTACGTAAACCAGTAGAGTACTGCGTAGCAGCTCTGTGTCAAAGTTATAAAAGCATCGAGCGTCTCGGCCACGCCTTGTGGCGAGCTGGGAGTTGGATTTGCAAACGAGTGTAGGAGGTTAGCCGTAGTTCAGCGTTAGCATATAGCATTAGCATATCCTAATCTTTAGCATAGCTTTTAGTGTTATACATACTTATTTAGTGTTAGCTTGGCTGTTGGATATTGTAGTTTAGTTAGTGTTTCGCTGTTAGTGTTATTAGGAAAGTAGTTCGGGTTTAGTGTTCCATATCGTGTTAGTATGGTGAGAAGGTGTAGTGTAGTGGGTTCGGTGGCTCTGTGGGGTTGCACTCCTTTCCACTGGACTTAGAAATTAGGCGCCACTGATTGCGCGCAATCGGTGTCTGGAAAACAGTCAGCTCCCGCCTGGTGCTGTAGTTTGCAACCAGCATTTTACCCACGATTCCTTCGCCAACATGATGGAGTTTGAACTGGGTTATTCTGCGTGCCTCCGTTTGAAGAGGGAGGCCGTGCCCACCGTGGCCAATAAGATGTGATGATTCCATCTAAATATTAAATATAAACCTGATTGATCTTTGAATGTTTAACCAGAATAGTTTAGGGTTTTTTGCTTGTTCAGGGACCATAAACACACTTCGTGTTAATTCAGGAAGAGTCAAGTATATTGTTAAAAGGGATTTTATTCTTGTCTAAACTAATGATAATACACGACAAGCTATGAATAACGAAGTGATGGAGTGTATATGCAGTGATGTAATGTGAGTTGTAGGCGGTGTGGTGTAAAGTAGATGTGTATCAGAACCTTTGTATCTGAAAGAGATTGTGAACTCTGGGTGTGAAAGAATTTGTTGTCTGCTATAAACTAGAGAGTTGATTATTAATAAAACAACATCAGACGCAATCTGTTGTGTCTACAAACCTTGATCGGAGATCCCCGGTCAGATCCGGAATGTCAGGAAGTCTGGTGGACCTCAAGGCACTGAAGTTCATAGATTAACTGCGGTGCGACCAGTCCGGTCTCGAATTGTCTCCAGGTCACAACAGGCAGAAAGGTTCATTGCGTCTAAAACGGATGTGTTCTCAAGGAGCCATATGGCTGTGTCAGTTGACAGTGTGCCAACCATCGACATATATATACTGGACAATTCGTGTCCACAGGCTCCAATTAAAAGTTTTTGTGCCAAAATGGGAGGTGGCTACCACCGCCATTTTGACTGTGTCACAGGTTCCGTCAAGCCAAGACAATTCCAAAAAAGGGAAAAGAGGTGGAGCTGAGGGTGGGGCTGTAAGGCTGGGATCAAATGACGACACATGATGAACTGAAGCGATGTAGCTACAAGCTAACCCAAAGCTAACGCAGAGGTGGGAGCTAAGCTAACGGAGATAGCTACCTAGCTACAACCGGAGTTAACTGTGCACAACACCGGAGCTTTTGAGTCAGAGATACGCCGGGCTGACTGCTGGGTAAAACCGGGTGGAACACAGAGGTCTCCCGAGAGCTCCACAAGCCGGCAGCCCGCGCAGCAGACAGGCGCCGCTGCGATCAGAGATGCGCCAAGCTGACGCTGAGGGGAGGGGACCATTCCAATAGTCGGAATCCAGCTCCACCAACATGTTATATTTCAACCCATTTTCAAAAATGCAGCGTCATGTTAAATGCACTGGGTTCTACCCTATTACATTTAAATTTTATGGTTAAACAGTACATGGTGCTTCCGGTCTGTAACAAGATGGCGCTTGTGCTTGGCTTAGCCGCAGTCACCGTCCACTTTTTCAAACGTTTCTCCACTAACCTCCTCTTTTCCACCTTGCTCCTGTCTGTCTGTGTCTGTGAAATCAGGTGTGTTGAAACAGAGTTAAAACCAAAACGTGCTGGATACTATCCCCTAAGCCATGATCAGTCTTTGTTTTCAGGTCATGTGAGAGTTGTTTTTAGACCTACATGTTGCTACTCTTTAGAGAATATTCAAAAAGGAGGTAAACTTACAATTAAATACTCTAAATACTCTTTCTCATAAGTGGATTTACCTGTGTACGGAGGTCAAGGGTCACAGAGCTTAACAAACCAATTCTGAGTTCCAATAATTAGTTCTACAGGTTTTGGAATAAATAAATAAAATGACAACAGTGCCCAAATGTATGCACCTGCCAAGTTTTGTTTAAACATGTATTGCACACTTTCTGTAAACCTTTGTTTCACTTCTCAAACATCACTCTGTGTTTCCTATATGTTACATTTAACTGAAAATCTCATAACAACCAACGATTTATAGGAAACTCATGAAGATTAACAAGACTGCCCAAACTTTCACACCCAACTGAAGATGGTCTCTCAGTCTAAGACGAATCACTGAAATAAATGACCCTTTGCACGATATTTAGGATCACGTGACCTGTAGAGAAGGCAGCTGTCTCCAGGGGCACCCAGTGGGCGTGGTCACACCGGCCAGAAGAATTAGGATGGGGCGTGTAGACTTTTCTCCTCATTAATAACATTAACTTTAAACAGCTGGTTGTGTGTACTTATGTTGTTGTTGACTTATATTTAAATTTGTTTGATGGTCTGAAACACGAAAGTGTGACAAACATGTAAAATGAACATAAAAAAACAAGAAATCAGGGATTTTTTCCACGCTAGTTCCACGTGACCAGTTGAGATGACGTCAGTGTCGAAGCAGCAAAGTTTAATGGCCGAGAGTTTTACGAGTAGTTGTTGCTTTTCCATTTGGTTGTAATCGGTTTCAGGTCCGGACCGGATTAGTCCTACGGGCACCCGGATGACAGGCTCGCTACAAGACGGTAATCAGAATACTTTATCGTCATATGGAGAAGAGCAACAGGATGATTAGTTTTCCCTGCATCTATTACAGCAGATAATAACAGATCTATTCATGAGATTACTTTAATATTCACTTATTGTGTTTAGGTCAGACTGATTCTGACCCAAATGTGCAGCTAAAGTGACTGTAGACGCATTTTATGTTTCAGATTAGGACTAAAATAGGAATATTTTTTGTTGTCAAGCCATCCCATAAATGTGAACATGCGGTCTGGATTTCTAGGCAAGTTGAGGAAAGCAGCAGCGCTGAGCTTCAGGGAAATCAGGACCGAGGCAGAAATCTTCACGGAGTCTGGGACGACTGTCAAAGTCAAAGTCAAAGTCAAAGTCATTTATTGTCATATTCTCCACATGTGCAGGACATACAGAGAAATGAAATTCAGTTTCAGCACACACAATTCAAAGATCAGACATACGTGGGTAAGACACATAACAAGAATTGGTGACTGCGGTCATTCGCAACATGAGTCGCGCTACCTTAATAGTTAGATGAAAAGGGTGTTACATGAGGAAAGTTCAGGGAGGGGAAAAAAGGCATTAACAGGGTTACACCAGCAGGGTGTAGCACTCTAATGCAAAAAAACACCCGACATGGAAGCACAGACAGCACGTATACAACATCAGAGTCCGATGGGGAGGTGGGGGTGGGCGGGATCCTGAAGCCTCCAATGGGAGCTGCCACTGCGGCGCATCGACCAGCTGCAGACCAACAGGTGGGAGGGAGAGATAAGGAACAGAGAGCACATTGAAGTTCCTGCAGAATCTGAAGGAAGAGGGTGAAGGTCGGGACACAGCATCTGTCGGCATTCCTCCTTTTTGTGGGGGTGTGTTGAGGCAGCCTTGAGAGGCTGCTATGGCGTCAGATAAGGATAAACATGACTTTGTTTAGGGCAGACAGAGATAGTCTTCCTCTCCGTCTTGTAGTCTCTAAGTGGTCATTCATGTCCACCAGTGAAGCCAATTTTACATTCCACATCCCCGCATCGTCCGGCGACCCTCTCCGAGATCAAATCCATCTTGCGCACTAACACAGGCAACGCCGCAAGGACATTGTCCAGCTTACGGTTCACCTCGAGTAACGTCCCAGTCTGTGAGGTCACCGCACGAGCGGCACATTCCGTGGGTACGGGTCGCACTCCAATCGCTCCCGTCTTCCCAAATTTCCAGAAAACCAGATATCCTCCCACTCCAATCAGAAGAAATCCAGTGATCATTAGGCCGAATATCCACAAATCTTCCACGTCCTCGATGGACAGCTGAGAGAGGCACACGATTCGCCAGACCTCCCAAGAATCGAGTGCATATCCCGATGCGAATGTCCCCTCGGGACAGGTGGGAGCCCCCTTCTCCGTTCTCATCGTAGAAAAAATTTTGTCAATCACGTTGAATGACCAATTAATTAAGTCCATATTTCCAAAAAAGAGTAGTGGTTTCAGGAGAAATGCAGAGAAGTGCTCTGTAGGCAGACAGGACAAGAGCCTTGGGGAAGCCGATAAGGGAGCTGAGAAAAAAGCGTCTGTACTCTCTGAAGGCTGCAGAAGAGCTGTGAACAGCGACGTGCGCCCCCCGGTGGTGAGAACACAACAACAGAAGAGAGAGGAACCGGACAGGAGTGGAGGTGTGGATGAGATCAGATGGAGCCAGATAAGCTAATGAAGAGCTTTGACAGTGATGAGGAGATTTTAGATTCTCTGTTTAAGGGGAAGCCAGTGGAGTTGTTGCAGAGCGCGGGTGTTGTGATGGGTGGTTTGTGATAACAACACGTGCTGGTTCTGGAGGGATGTGCTGGGGAGCCCAAAGAGGTGGAGTCAGTCCAGGAAGTGACAAGGTTGTGGACGAGAAGAGAAGATTGCATTGAATAGATGGGTGCAATGACTGGTCGCATTCTTGTCAGTGATTGTTTTTATTTTATTTGTTTATTCCCCTTTGCACAGACATCACGCTGGTTTGTGCCACTCGGACAAAGAGAACTGAGTGGAGTTCTGTTTGTCAGGACCTTAGTTGGATCTGCTGTGGACCAGGACGAGAACAGCTGCTTTAGTGGAGATCTGGACATCTGCAATGGGGGACGCCTTTGGTTTGGTCTACTGTCTGGCTAAGGAGGAGGACTATGAGCAGGTCCTTCAGTAGCTATAGAAGTCTCTCCTCCAGGAGAATGTAGACATTTCTGACTTTCTGCTCTTGTGTTTGGGATCCAGGTCATGAAGATCTGCACTTCAAAGGACTACAACGGACTGGACTACCTGCCTGCCTTCTTTCACCGCTGGCTGAAGGAACCTGGACGGATCGTCCTCTTGGCTTGGATGAAAGACAGAGTGGTAAGGACGGGACATAGGTGATGGGTCTAGTAGGCTAGGGTTTCCTCATCTACTGATGAAATCTTGCTTTGACCTGCAGGTGGCGCTGGAATCTGCCTTGCTCGTGGATGGGGGTCAGACGGTTGTGTTTCAGGGTCGCAGGGTGGTTTCTGACCTCAGAGGCAGTGGCATCGCTGGCGTCCTCCACAGTCATGTGACCTCCTACGTCCGCAGTCAGTACCCAGAAGTCTGTGCTGTCAGAATGAGCCGAGGAGACCATCCTTCAGAACGAATCCTGTCTAAGTACAGACTTGTTGCTAAAGAGGTGAGTCTCAGTCTGCAGAACAACTCAGGTATGGGGTGGTCCAACCAGTCACTCCAATTATCTAGTTAGATAGGGACCAGACATCAGAGCACACAAACTTCCTCTAGTGGTTGGTAGTAATACAAACAAATTGTATTTATACTACAGATTTCTTGTACTGCTCCTCCTTCTACAGTATTCATTTTTTCCACAAATGATAGATTTAAACCTTCCGCTAGTTCAGGAATTTCCAGCTCTGCCTCTTGGACTTGATATATTTTACATTTTTTAAAAAAAACATTTGTGTCTTTGTGGATCGTTTTCAGTGCGTGAGAATTAAACAGAGTCCTTTATGTGGTGCAGATATTAAGTGTGTTCTTGTAGAGTTGCTGTGATGTAAATGTTTAGATGTGAGATCAGGTCAGAAACAGCTCTGAGAACAGTTCTGCGATCAGGTCAGAAACAGGTCTGAGATCAGATCAGAAACAGGTCTGAGATCAGGTCAGAAACAGATGTGAGATCAGGTCAGAAACAGGTCTGAGATCAGGTCAGATACAGGTCTGAGACTAGGTCAGAAACAGGTCTAAGATCAGGTCAGAAACAGCTCTGAGAACAGGTCTGCGATCAGGTCAGAAACAGGTCTGAGATCAGGTCAGAAACAGCTCTGAGACCAGGTCAGAAACAGGTCTGAGACCAGGTCAGAAACAGGTCTGAGATCAGGTCAGAAACAGGTCTGAGACCAGTCAGAAACAGATGTGAGATCAGGTCAGAAACAGCTCTAAGAACAGGTCTGTGATCAGGTCAGAAACAGGTCTGAGATCAGGTCAGAGATAGCTCTGAGAACAGTTCTGCGATCAGGTCAGAAACAGGTCTGAGATCAGATCAGAAACAGGTCTGAGATCAGGTCAGAAACATATGTGAGATCAGGTCAGAAACAGGTCTGAGATCAGGTCAGATCCAGGTCTGAGACTAGGTCAGAAACAGGTCTAAGATCAGGTCAGAAACAGCTCTGAGAACAGGTCTGCGATCAGGTCAGAAACAGGTCTGAGATCAGGTCAGAAACAGCTCTGAGACCAGGTCAGAAACAGGTCTGAGACCAGGTCAGAAACAGGTCTGAGATCAGGTCAGAAACAGGTCTGAGACCAGGTCAGAAACAGATGTGAGATCAGGTCAGAAACAGCTCTAAGAACAGGTCTGTGATCAGGTCAGAAACAGGTCTGAGATCAGGTCAGAGATAGCTCTGAGACTAGGTCAGAAACAGGTCTGAGACCAGGTCAAATACAGCTCAGAAACAGGTCTGAGACCAAGTCAGAAACAGATGTGAGATCAGGTCGGAAACAGGTCTGAGATCAGATCAGAAACAGGTCTGAGATCAGGTCAGAAACAGGTCTGAGACCAGGTCAGATACAGGTCTGAGATCAGATCAGAAACAGGTCTGAGATCAGGTCAGAAACAGGTCTGAGACCAGGTCAGATACAGGTCTGAGATCAGATCAGAAACAGGTCTGAGATCAGGTCAGAAACAGGTCTGAGACCAGGTCAGATACAGGTCTGAGATCAGATCAGAAACACGTCTGAGATCAGGTCAGAGACAGGTCTGAGACCAGGTCAAATACAGCTCAGAAAGAGGTCTGAGACCAGGTCAGAAACAGATGTGAGATCAGGTCGGAAACAGGTCTGAGATCAGATCAGAAACAGGTCTGAGATCAGGTCAGAAACAGGTCTGAGACCAGGTCAGAAACAGGTCTGAGACCAGGTCAGATACAGGTCTGAGATCAGATCAGAAACAGGTCTGAGATCAGATCAGAAACAGGTCTGAGACCAGGTCAGATACAGGTCTGAGATCAGATCAGAAACAGGTCTGAGACCAGGTCAGAAACAGGTCTGAGACCAGGTCAGAAACAGGTCTGAGATCAGGTCAGAAACAGGTCTGAAACCAGGTCAGATAAAGGTCTGAGACCAGGTCAGACACAGGTCTGAGATCAAATCAGAAACAGGTCTGAAACCATGTCAAATAAAGGTCAGAAACAGGCCTGAGACCAGGTCAGAAACAGGTCTGAGACCAGGTCAGATACAGGTCTGAGATCAGATCAGAAACAGGTCTGAGACCATGTCAAATACAGGTCAGAAACAAATCTGTGATCAAGTCAGAAACAGGTCTAAGACCAGGTCAGAAACTGATATGAGATCAGAGCCCCTCCCCCCACTGGTACTTGGACCCACCTGAGTTGATGCTGCAGCACCCCGTCCCTCGGACGATGCAGAGTGGAGCAAATCCAAACACCAGAGTGATGGACAGCAGAACCACCAGAGCTCCCAGTTTTATCTCCAGAGCCGGAACATCAGCTGGGTTTACCGGCAGTGCCACTGCTCCCCCGCGGAACTGGAGGGCTGAGGAGGAGCTTCCACCTGCCGCCAGCATCATTCAGCTTCTCCGGACCCCCTCAGTCAGACAGGCTTAAAACATTGGTCCAGACAAGATCACAATCTGTCAGGAGAAACATGAAACACATAGGCAGAGATCCCAAGGGGACGCATCCATTAACCATACAGATGTCTCCCCAATAATCACGGTAAACAACACATATATATTCAATGACATAGTATTGCCCAATCAAAGCAGAGCACAAACGATCCACATCCAAACAATATCTCTTTAATTGTTGAAAGATTGTGACCACCCCTTAAGTTGAGCAGAAAAGTGAATTGCTGAGGAACCATCGACATATATACATATGTCATATGTATGAGGAACATTAAAAAAAACACAAAAATTGTTGCTTTTCTTAGAACCTCCACATCAGCACTGTGAAAAGCAAAAAGGAAACCATGCTGAAGTTAGTTTTAAGTGACAGATCTCCATCCTGGTTCAGGTCCGATCACAGCTAAATCAACAGATTTTATTTATAGTCACCTCAGGATGGTTCGATTAGCCAGATAACTTTCATATTTAATATTAATATTTTCATAGAAAAATTATGTTTTCTTTAAATGCTTCCACATCATGTGACTTTATTTTTAGATGATGTTCTCTCTCTTTATTGTGAAACGTTTACATAGATGTTGTAGTACTGTAGTACTACTGCTGTGGTACTTTATCTTTGTTTATGTAATGGTACATAATGTTGGTTAACATGCTGGAGGCCCACCCTGCAAGAGACATTTTTTTACATATCCCCCAAAAAGATTTGCTTTCTGAAATTTTACAGTAAATCCAGTCTGAGCCTCTGAGGATCCAGTTCAAGGATTCACAGGTTCTTCCTCTAGAGAGAACATCAGGAACTACTCATGAAATCTGGAAAAGCTTAGTTATTTAAAGGATCAGGGAACATGTTTAAACTTGTCCGCCATGACCTCTGATCCCTGACTTTGTTGGGCAGACAGGTGTTCTCGTCATCAGAGCATCTCTGGAGGAGAACCCGGACCAGGACAAGATCTGTGGAATGGATCAGATGGATGTTAACGGGAACTATCTACATTCTGTCAGAGAAACCAGAATAACCTCTAGATCTGACCCAGAATCTGCACCTGGACCCAAATACAAAGAGCAGCAGAACCAGTTCCATCCAGTAAACCCAGAAGTTTCAAACAAAAACGCTTCAACGAGGACCGATTGATCCACTTTACGCCCAGAATCAGAACCAGGGGATCTTTTAATCTGGAAACTCCTCCGACAAACATCAAGCGAATCAATAAGACACGAGGCCCCTGAGACCCGACGTTGGACCTGAGGCGAGACTTGCCAGGTGAGAAGGACCAGACACGTGGCCTACCTGCTCCAGCCGCGTCCCGGTGAGTCCTCTTCCCGTTACTGGGAGTTTGTCCGGGAAGTTCTGATTCAGTTCCCATCAGCTGATCCCGCCAGCTGTCACGCGAGCCACAACACCACGCACTTCCTGTCTTCAAACTAAAAGCTTTTCCAAATTTTGTTTTTTTCAGCAAATGAATATTACCTGCAGATGCCTTTTGAAACTTTGTGACACACATGCACGCGCCAGAAAAATTTATTTCGTGTTCAATTAAAAAGTCGAACACATCTCAGTTCAATTAATAAAATACATCTAAAATAAATTGGTTTATTATTGATCTGACAGAATCACCCAGAATGAACTTACGTAGAATGAATTTTGACTCAGAAAAGTGAAGCTCAATGTGATACGTTAACCAAAATAAATATAATTGTAACTGAATTTATCAAATGAAGACTGATGAGTTGAATGTGTGCTTTTATTTTGGTGGTCACAGGCCTTGTTTCCGGTGTAAGTATGTTTAACTTCTTTCAGCTAAAGTAGGAGTCGCGCTTCATCACATATTTACTTAAGAGTCAAAGGTCAAAGACATGAAATGATTCAGACCAAAGTTTTCAGCTGATGATGAAGGTTTGAACATCATCAGCTGGTTCTGAATCAACATATGTCTTCAGTCTTACAGCAAAAACACCCAGATGATCTTTATTCTGAGGCTGAAGGATTTAGTCGTTTCATTTCGAGAATGTTGATATAAAGTTCATTATGAAGCAACCAGTTGGTTTTATAAAACGGCTTAATAAGAACTGTAAGTTATGTGAAACGTGTTGACTGCATTATTATTGTTGAAGCAGAATTCTGTTATCACCACTATGGGGCGCTCGTCTGCTGCTCAGGTACGCCTTCAGAAAAACAGAACCTACAGAAATCTTCTAGTCCTGGGTTCTCTGGTCCAAACCAGAATCCTTCAGACCTCTAACCCGAATAACATCTCTTATAAACGTTGGCAGAATAACAAACAAATAAACATTTGAAGCTTAAAAAAAACATGATCATGTTCATTCAGCCATCCATCTTGGACATGTGTATTTGCTCTTTTTCAGACGCACCGACTGGGGCGGTAAATGGCTAAAAGGTTGACTAGCATGAGCGTTTTTAGGCCATTTTTTGGGGGGTGCCGAAGCACCCCGAAAATGTGAGAATTTAAAACATTTAGTTTTACTATATGTTATTTTAAAGACAATTGTAAAATATAAAAAGCATAGTGTGCTTGGTAACGTTAAATTTCAACAACAAAAAATCCTGATTCTTCCAGCTCAGTTTTTGTCATCTGATCAGTTTTAGTGATGAATTTAAATTTCTCAGACACAAGCCAAAGATTGGAAAACCTGTCTGATAACTCTTGCAGGATGGTGTCAACAATGACATTGAAAACCGTGCACCTAAAGTGTATTTCGGGTTCTTCTCCGTGATGAGCATTGCTGGAATTGTCATCTTGGAAACTCTTTTGCTTCCTAAAACATCTCTGTTTGAATTCTGGAGAAGCATCCATTTCAACTGCTATCCTGCTTGCAATTACAAGTGACTTTTGGTAGCCCTCTTCTCTATAATTGAGTAAGAACGTTTTCAGAGAATCAATTAGGCTAATAGCTGTGTCAATTGAGACATCTGCTGCCTGTAGGGCCTTGCTTGCAAAGTTCATCTCTGACAATAAGTCATACCAAATGAGGAGGCACACAAGAAACTCCCTCCTTACAATCTCATCAGACAGTGACTTTGCCTCTGAGACAATTTTGCTGTCTCCTGCCACTTCTGCAAGTTCATAGAGCATCTAGAATCCCCCCAACTGGAAACATACAGCTTTGACTGAGTCTAGCTTTGCTTCCCACCTGGTATCACTCAGAGGTTTCAGTGTGATGTCAACAAATTCTGTGAGAATGGCCACCTCTTCACTGAAGAGGAACACATAGTGTACAATCTTTGAAGAGTGCCAAAGAAGGTCAGATACTCTCTATTAGATGAAGCTGCATCACACATCAAAAGGTTCAGGCTGTGGCTACAGCAGGGACTGAACAGAGCCTCTGGACATCTCTGTTGTATCAAAGCTTGGACACCCTTGTTTATCCCTCTCATATTAGAGCCATTGTCATAGCTTTGGCCCCTACAATTAGCCAAGTCCAACCCCAGACTATCCAGCACTCCTGTCAGTGTGTCTGCAAGGCCTTTCCCAGTTGTGTCCTTCACAGCCGTGAACCCCACAAAAGACTCATTAATACTGACATTCTTCTTCTCATCAGTATGAATATACCGTATGAAAACTGAGGCCTGCTCTTGCTTTGAAATATCAGGAGTGCAGTCCAGTTCCACTGCAAAGTACTTGGAGGCTTTAATCTGGGCACAGATTTTACTTAAAACACATTCTGATATTGAATCCAAAAATTCATTCTGAGTGCACCAAGACAGATATCCGGTGTTTTTTTGTTTTTTTTTTGGAGGCAAGTTTTTCTAAGATGCTCTGCCAGTGTGACATCATACCGTGCGATGAGCTCATGGATACCTAGAAAATTTCCATTTTTAGGATTTCCTAGCTGCGCATTTTTTCCCCTCAGCGGCAGTTTCTTTCAGCAAGGAAGAGTATGCAGTCAATCACTCGAGTCAAAATACTTCTCCAGTGTGTCTTTTCAGCGGGCGTGGCTCTCTGTAATTCACAATCAATAGTTTTACCTATGCGTAAGCGAGATGCCAATTCTTTCCACATCAGATTGTCATGATGTGGTGTGGGTGGCGTCGGACCATGTGTGGTGGAGCTGATCAGGAGGCAGGAATGCAGGCATGGATAACATAAAAATGGATTTAATAGCAGGATACGGCAGGATACAACAAGAACAACATGACAAACAACAATGATCCGACACTGACACATACAAGACGGGAGGTATAAATACACAGGGAAACAATCAGGAACACATGGGCAGGTTAACAAGGGGCAGGTGAGACCAAAAAACTAAACAGGAGGCAGGGGAGAGTCACAGTCAGAGGGAGGCAGGAGCAGATCGTGACACAGATAAGCATTTATGTGATAACCACTAGTTTCATGGTGCATCAGGGTTTTTGAAAGACACTGCCAGTTGTTATAACCCGTCACAAGGTGTGTGTCAGCAACTCTAGCTTCACCAAAAAGCTTACAAGCAAAACAATAGACTTTTAGTACTTTTGGAGTACAGTAACCAATCCCGTTCCACTTTCTCTCCATTGGACAGTAAACGAAAACAGTGTGCTTTGGAAAAACACCGTTTACTCTTCTCTGATCTTGGATATGGCCCACCAGGACATTTCGGTGGGCCATTCTGAACCATGTACTGCCTCAATGTGTCCCCAATTTCATGTGGTGAAGGCCATTCAGATGGATCTTTTAAATAAGGTCTTTCACCAGCCCTCTCCTCTGCACTTCTCTGTTCCTCTTCCTCTTTATCATGTTGACCTCTTTGTTCTTCTCCCTCTTCTTTGTGTAGACCTCTATGTTCTCTCTCTCCTTCATCATGTGGATCTCTCTGTTTCTGTCCCTCTTCTTCATCATGTAGACCTCTCTGCTCCACATTCTCCTCCGTAGTCATTGACTTGCCTTGTCTGCCTGCACTTATTTTTCTTAAAGGACAAAAAGATGGTCAGTAAAATTCTAATCATACTAGAATTCCAGGTTTTTAATGGCCATTCTAGTATATGTATCTGTCATGGTCTCAAGCATTATTTAACAGCTATAAATTACCACTCTTGAAAATGCACTTGATCATTATAAATAATATTTAAAAATTGATCACTTGGTATTAAGTGAGTGTTCACTTCCACCTAGTATTAGACCAACCTGTTGCTTTCCTATCTCTGTTCTGATTCTTTATATCTCTTTTTTCTTCTTTCTCTCCATCCGCACATCTGAATAATAAGAAATTTGAATTTAGAAATATTAAAAAAATACAAGACTCAAACTACATATAAAAACATTATGTTTTAGTTTAAAATTGCAGGAATTTAAGAGCAAATCTGAAGTGCATCACCCAATTCAATAATTTATCAGTATTATCACTCAACATCCAATTAAACAAAGGATTACTGTCAGAAAAACTAAATAACCACCCCTGGTTCCTTTATTTTTCTTGTGATTATCTATTACGTATTTTTTATTAGATCTAGCTGAATCAACCCCCCCCCCCCCCTCACCACCACCACCCCCGCTGCTCTCACGGAGATCCGACTACTCCCAGAAGCCTGTGTGAGATTAAAACCCTGATCTTGTGATCCATACAGAACACCCGTAACCTGTCATTTTACTAGAGGCAGGCTAGCAGCTTCAGCTAATAGAGCTAATAGGAATAATGCCTTCTTGCGAGATGACTCTCCTACTGTCTTTCAATCACTTAGAAAGGTTTTTTTTCATCCCTACGAAATCATTTTTCCCTTTCCCTCTTCCGTTTTTTTTGTGCCCAGGAGAGCTTTTTTTCGGACTTTCCATCTCTAGCTAACCTAGCTAGCTGATCAGATGACAGTAGATATCATTCAAATGAAAACACTCGCGCCCCAGCGCTTAATCGCGGGCGCACGCGCTGGACTCCTCAAGAGTGTTCACGTTCTGTGTGTGTGTGTGTGTGTGTGTGTGTGTGTGTGTGTGTGTGTGTGTGTGTGAGTGTGGGGCGGCAGGGCTGTGGTGGGGCGCCCAATCGCTTGCTTCTGTTAATAATTATTTAATTTACACATGCACAATAGCTATGCAACACAAAAAAGCCCTTCCCCCCCATCAATGCTTAAGCGCACCCTCCAGCGCGGTGCCCCTATGCGTCGCATACACTGCATACCCACTTTTGGCGCCACTGACTGGTAACTTTAACAACCGAGCGTCTGCGTCGTTTTGGCTGCGCACGCGCACTTAACGCTTGCACTTAATTGAGCAGCCCTCCTGGCCCCGCCCCCTTCCACACGTCACGTGAACAGCGTCTGCGCCTCTCTTTATGACGTCACAAAGCCTCAAACTTCATTACCGTCATATACCTTGACCAGCGTCGGATCAGTCACAGTTCACGCCTCAGAGCAAACAGGTAGCATGGAAAACCTACATCATCCTCATATAGAACCACTGAAAGAAAGGGAGAGATTGTTAATAAACTTATTTAATGTGGAACAAAAACTCAAAGATTTGAAAGAGCGCTTTGTAAGAGAGACTGAGCGTTCTGCTGCAGAGAAATTAGAGCAACTGGACACTTATGAAGAGGAGTTAGAAAAATATGATCTTGATTTAATTTTAGTAAATAGAGATGCCAAAGATACAATTTTAGCCCATAAGCGTAATTTAAGTAAACAGGGGCATTTACTTTGGGAACTCGAAGAGGAAAATAAAGTCCTGCAAAATTACAAATTACAACATGAAAACGAAGCCCTGGAAGAGAAGATTTTAGATGACTGTCTCTCAAAAATTAAATTAGTACCAACCTTAGAGTTAAGAGCAACTCCTATGAAATTAAACCAAATGCCTAGTCGTAAGAAGGACTGGATTTTAGGTGCTATCTCACAAAATAAACAAAAAATTAACAAACTGGAAGCCCTGAAGTGTTCAAATCAAGAAGGCTCGTCAAACCTAGAGGAACAGAAAAAGAGAGAGAATCAGTTCCAAGACTATTTGTTGGCAAAATACCGGCATTTACCATTAGATGTTAAGGAGGAGTCTTGCTCTGCGATTGACAGAATAGAGTATGTAGACTCAAAGTTAAAACGGTTAGATAAAGCGAGACTTTCAGCTCTCAAGCAAAACTCAGCGGCGAAAAAGACGTTGAGAAAGGAATTGACTGACATAGAGGAAGAAAACATGTCAACTTATCAAACAAACGTTGTTCGGAGAACTAAGGGTGAAGTTAAAAATGAACCACGCTTAGACTTACAAGGAATACCAATGAAATTAAGGTATACAAGTCATAGGAAGTACTTACCTTAAATCTGCATCACGCCCGGCATTCTAAACCCTGGGTTCGAAAATTTTAAAATCAGTCCTTCAAACACAATTATTCATTGATGGCATGTACTTAAAGACAGATACAGGAACATGGACATTGTAAAACCACGTTCACATGTTTGTAGCAAGATGCTTTTAGCCATAGCTAATTTACAGCACTTTAGATGGGCTGTTAAAACAGTCGAAAGAAGTTTATAATCTTGTTTTTCATCGTGGGCATGCTTTGCTGTCCACTATAGTAAATTGCGAGGGGGTGGGAGGGAAGCTAATGAAGAAACCAGTTTTTAGCATTTCATCGTATTTGTTTAGGTAAGTTCACACGTTTGGCTGCAATAACAGAGAAGGGCGTAAATTCAGCTTGTCTTTCTGTTCAATACATTTCTTGGACTCACCACTTGTGAAAGGAGCCAAAGATGTTGGGTGCAATGTGTGATGTAGCCGAAGGAGAGACTCTTCGGCTGGGAAGGGAACGCTTTGGGAATTCCCCCGAAAGAGCTGGCCCAAGTGGCTGGTGAGAGGAAAGTCTTGGCCTCCCTGTTTAGGCGACTGTCTCCGCGACCTGACCCTGGATAAGTGGCCAAAAATGGATGGATGGATGAAACTTTGTTATGGCGCTTACACAGTAGCGTCGGCACGGCCCCAAAAGTTACCGAACGGCACCAGAATTTGGCTTCGCACACAGGTCAGATTCACGTTTTCGGTGCCGAGGCAACTCTTTTTTCAGACCTCCTCCCCAGCGGTCAGACTGGGACCGAGGCGACACTACCAACTGATTGGCTAGCTGAAATTATGCCTACTGCCTTTGATCTGCCAGCGCGGGGGGGGGGGTTCCGCATGCGTGGTTCATTTTTACTGAACACGGTACATGAGAAAATAAAAGGTAAAAACATTAAAGTAGAAAACAAATGGGTAAAACAAGACATAAAGAGACCAATGAAAGCAGGGAATTAAAATCAACATAAATGAAGCCGGCGGCTAACAGATAAGTGTGCAAACCAGTGGGAAGTGTGGTGGTGGTGGTGGTGGTGGTGGTGGTGGTGGGGGGGGGGGGGTCGGGGGTCACAAGACAGAGTTTCCCTGCCGTAGACAAGGACTGCCAGGTCTCCGATGTAGCCTAGTTGTCTTTAGATTGGCTGTTAAAATAGTCGAAAGAAGCAGAAGATCCATTTTCTGCAGCTGGAATAGCCAGGATTTAGTTCTGTCATGCTAGGTGGCAGAAAGACCGTTTACACACTTTGGAACTTATAAGAAACTTTTGAAGAAGCCAGTCTTTAGCATTTCATCATGTCTACTGCGCTAACAGATTAGTGTGTAAACCAGTGGGGGGGGGGGGGGGGGGGGGGGGGAAGGCGCTGAACACGGTACATGATGAAAGAAAAGGTAAAAACATTAAAGTAGAAAACAAATGGGTAAAACAAGAGATAAAGAGACCAATGAAAGCATGGAATTAAAATCAACATAAATGAAGCCGGCGGCTTACAGTGGGAAGTGTGGTAGTGGTGGTGGTGGTGGTGGTGGTGGTGGGGGGGGGGGGGGGGGGGGTCACAGGACAGCGTTTCCCTGCCGTAGACGAGCACTGCCAGGTCTCCGATGTAAACTGAGTGACTTGAAGTCCGCAGAGAGTTGAGCTTCTGTCTGGGGACTTTGACTCTCCTGACACAAGAGACACCTGCAAAACAATTAGCCACACTGATAAAGTCAAAATCGTCAGACATTTTGACCGACTTGCCAAAATAAATTACTTTTTCAAAACCAAACACTTCACACTCTCTGTTGACAATTCTATCTGAGTATGTATGTAACAGATGTATTCTGATGTTTTATAATAATTCATAATAATGATAATGATCTGGTGGTTTCCTGCCACCACAGTCATGTCCCTGGTGAATGATAGTGTATTACATTTTGTGTTTATGTATTTCAGACTTTTTAACATGGACAAATGTGTCCCTCACTGTCCTACACCTCTTCATGCAGTCCGACTCCTCACCTCTAAACTCATGTTTCCCCTACTTCTATGAATAAAACGATTGCTCGGTGTCATTGTAAACATTTATACTTTTGGACTTTTTCCGAGAGACTTTATTCAACCTGATACATACAAATTCAGAAGGTGTGAAAATGGTGACAACTAAAGTTTACACCACCACCCCTATTCTAGTGCAATACAAGCATTACCAAGTCAGCAGAGTCCACCTGAGGAGACGCGGGTGCAGAAAGTTGCAGTTCTGATCTCGCTGGTGTTCGTACAGGTGTTTGCACGAGTGTTGATCTGGCAGATGCACTGCTTGAGATCAATGACAATAGCTCAGATATGTCTCGTAAGTTCTGCCCGACTGCTGGAAGCTCTGTTGAGAATGAAGATATAAATAATTATTTAAAAACATTAAAGCCCCATGTCTGCTATTTAAGCAAACGCTCAAACCATACAAAAAAAAAAAACAAAGTCAGTCATTTTTTGTGCAACTTTAAGATAAATAAAATCCTAATCTAGTTATCTTGTCTCTACATGAAAAGACTGATCATATAAACATACCTTTCATTGCTTCTATTGGGTGTTTAAAGTTGTCTTCTTTCAGCCTTTTATTCTCGGCTATTAACGGCTTTATTTGCCTTTGTGCCTTGCTCCAGTTCCTGGATGGCAGCTCGTCATCTGATAACTCCTCATATTCGGTTGGGGACTGCAAGACACAGAAATCAACACCAAAACACACACAACATGTTAGTGTCATGTGTTTCAGACACAAGTAGCATGTTTACAACTACTGCTTGTAAACATTCAAATGTGATAAATTACCTCTAAATCTTTTTGTCTTGCCATCAGATCCTTCTTCAAGTCTTCAATCATTTGGTCTGCAGCCTCTTTTGAAGGACAGGATGCCGTTTAAAATTTTTGCTGCAAAATTTCAGAGTTTATAGTATATGAGCATTGATGCAAATTATAATACATGTGCTAAAAGGAAATATTTAGTACTAGAATACTCAGAGTATAGTGATACAATAACTTTTTAAGTTTTTTAAATAAAGGTTTCAAAGCAGTTCATAGGAATATATGAATATTATCATAACATAGTTTGTAAAAGTGTCACTTATTTAAGGTGTTGTATGCAATTGCACTCAATTAATTTGAGAGCTGTCCATTTCCACATCTTTTAATCAATTAATTTACCTTTTTTGATTGTTGACTCTCTTCCTCATTGTCCATCCACCTGCTGTTGGGCTTTATCTTCCTCTTTCCTCCCCTGTCTTCCTCTCTTTTCCAGATGTCCTCACCCTTTATGAAAGCCTCCCTCTGTTGGCACAGGTCAGTGTAGTTGTCTATGAGAAAAAGATTATTGGTATAATAAACAGACGATGAGTAACTGTGATAAAACATTTCACCCTTTAACCAAACAGAAGCATTGAGGAGCCATAAACATATTTTTTTCTCATTTATAAAATATTGAGCCTACACTTACATATAATAGGTTAAAATTAGGAAAATGTTACAGGGTGTGGGAAATGCAGAGTAAAAGATTTACCACTTTTCTCACACCATCAAACAAGTGAGCATGGTTGACAGAGCTTGGCTGTGAATGCAGTGACGTGCGGTGAGGTTCAGGACTGGGGAGGCACTGGCTGGAGTGGACTGGAGTCAGACTTACAAATACACAATCCCCGAAGCTTCTATTGATAGAATGAGACTAGAGGCGTTCATCTCTGCCTCCAGTCTGATGGCGCAGCGCCTCACAATAGAAATGGGGCTTTGGCGCGTGCGCCCTGCCATGTGCGCAGGAGTGAGAGCAAGGTAGCTAGTTCATCGCCTCCCCTTGGGCTTAAGTATTTGATCAGGAAACGGGTAAATTTCTGCAATTTTGACCATAAACATGTTGAAATCAAACATAAACCAGGCAGTCAGTGGACACATTGATTTCCTACTATATCATTATTGGTCTAAATAGTCACGATGACTGCCTTCCCTACTCATGATAAATGATAAATGACCCGCACTTGTATAGCACCTCTCAGAGTAAGGACTCCAAAGCGCTTTACACTACAGTGTATCATTCATCCATTCACACACACATTCACACACTGATGGTGATGAGCTACAATGTAGCCACAGCTGCCCTAGGGCGCACTGACAGAGGCGAGGCTGCCGAGCACAGGCGCCACCGGTTCCTCCGACCACCACCAGACCACACGTGACTGCATGAATGGAGAGAGTGATGGTTAAAAACATATATAACTTATTTATGTCGTGTGTTACCCTATCAGTTAGTGTGACCGGCCAAAAATGTTTAGGTAACAGACAAGATAACATTTATAAGCTAGGTGTATATCCTGGTTCACAAAACCCACGATAGCCATAACTGTAACTGCCTTCTGTAATCTTGTAAATAACATGTCTGTGTAGCTAAAACAAATATAACTGTAATTTTTTCAGTCTCTTGCCCAGCACTCCCTTGAAAATGAGGTTTTTAATCTCAAAGGGACCTTCCTGGTTAAATAAAGAATAAATAAACAAGGCTAAAATTGATATCATGCATGCACAGACACACACACACACACACACAAACACACACACACACACACACACACACACACACACACACACACACACACACACACACTGTCTATAAACAGAACCACTTTAAGCTTTTTAGTTTTCTACCACTAGTTTTTAAACAAACACGTTTAAAACTTCGTAGTTCTCCCCATTTTCTCTTCCTGTTGAAAAACCACAGCCGGCGCGCAAAGCATGCTGGGATAGCCTTGTTCTGTGAGAATACGTTTTCTGCATGTAAACGAGTACTGTGGTAAAAAATGTGGTAAAGATCTCTGTCTGAAAGTGACCAATCACATTAGGGAAGGCGGCTCCTCGGAACCCACCCCCCAAAGTGTGAAAAGTGAAACTTGTCCGATAGAGCGGAATTTCTACTCGAGAGCAGAGCAGGCTGCGCGAGCGTGTTTTAACAGTTCCACGCGCGTAGTACCCACACTTACGAGTGACAGGAACAATTGTCTGTGTGTGACTGGATACAATCTGCTCTCGGGTCTTTGTAAACACGTGCAAGGTGCTTTTTCGCACTCGCGGATAGTTTAAAACACGCACGGAGGACATTTGGAGCGCTAGTGGATGGGAACTTGTCCTTTCACGGACGTTTAATTATCCTCTCGTGATCGTGCGTGCTCTCGCGAGACCTTATTGACATAAAATAGACTCCATATAATCCAACTTTAATTGGGTTGTAGCATCACACTTTATAGCGTAGCGACTGCAAATTTAAAGAGCAAGTAACGTCTAAATTACCTTTTTTTTCTGATAAACTTTATAAATGAGTGTCTAATAGTGTTTAAATGTGTGTATTCATTATTTTAGCATTTTGGTGCATTTTCTTTAAAAATTAAAAATTCTGCCTAAATACCACAGCATAGTGCCACCTTCAGCTTAAAACATAGAGTTTGAGTCATTTTGAATGTGGCAAGGTGGATGCACAAGGGCCCAGGCGGGATTTGATCCCCAAACTCCTGGGTGAGAGTCATACGCACTAACCAGTCAGCCAAAGGGACATCCGCTTGGCACAGTAGCCAGGGCGCATGATCAATCGGGACATTGTGACAGGACGCTCACACTGTCACATCAATACACTTTAGCCAATGGCTAAAGAGAAAGATACTACGTAAACCAGTAGAGTACTACGTAGCAGCTCTGTGTCAAAGTTATAAAAGCATCGAGCGTCTCGGCCACGCCTTGTGGCGAGCTGGGAGTTGGATTTGCAAGCGAGTGTAGGAGGTTAGCCGTAGTTCAGCGTTAGCATATAGCATTAGCATATCCTAATCTTTAGCATAGCTTTTAGTGTTATACATACTTATTTAGTGTTAGCTTGGCTGTTGGATATTGTAGTTTAGTTAGTGTTTCGCTGTTAGTGTTATTAGGAAAGTAGTTCGGGTTTAGTGTTCCATATCGTGTTAGTATGGTGAGAAGGTGTAGTGTAGTGGGTTCGGTGGCTCTGTGGGGTTGCACTCCTTTCCACTGGACTTAGAAATTAGGCGCCACTGATTGCGCGCAATCGGTGTCTGGAAAACAGTCAGCTCCCGCCTGGTGCTGTAGTTTGCAACCAGCATTTTACCCACGATTCCTTCGCCAACATGATGGAGTTTGAACTGGGTTATTCTGCGTGCCTCCGTTTGAAGAGGGAGGCCGTGCCCACCGTGGCCAATAAGATGTGATGATTCCATCTAAATATTAAATATAAACCTGATTGATCTTTGAATGTTTAACCAGAATAGTTTAGGGTTTTTGCTTGTTCAGGGACCATAAACACACTTCGTGTTAATTCAGGAAGAGTCAAGTATATTGTTAAAAGGGATTTTATTCTTGTCTAAACTAATGATAATACACGACAAGCTATGAATAACGAAGTGATGGAGTGTATATGCAGTGATGTAATGTGAGTTGTAGGCGGTGTGGTGTAAAGTAGATGTGTATCAGAACCTTTGTATCTGAAAGAGATTGTGAACTCTGGGTGTGAAAGAATTTGTTGTCTGCTATAAACTAGAGAGTTGATTATTAATAAAACAACATCAGACGCAATCTGTTGTGTCTACAAACCTTGATCGGAGATCCCCAGTCAGATCCGGAATGTCAGGAAGTCTGGTGGACCTCAAGGCACTGAAGTTCATAGATTAACTGCGGTGCGACCAGTCCGGTCTCGAATTGTCTCCAGGTCACAACAGGCAGAAAGGTTCATTGCGTCTAAAACGGATGTGTTCTCAAGGAGCCATATGGCTGTGTCAGCTGACAGTGTGCCAACCATCGACATATATATATACTGGACAATTCGTGTCCACAGGCTCCAATTAAAAGTTTTTGTGCCAAAATGGGAGGTGGCTACCACCGCCATTTTGACTGTGTCACAGGTTCCGTCAAGCCAAGACAATTCCAAAAAAGGGAAAAGAGGTGGAGCTGAGGGTGGGGCTGTAAGGCTGGGATCAAATGACGACACATGATGAACTGAAGCGATGTAGCTACAAGCTAACCCAAAGCTAACGCAGAGGTGGGAGCTAAGCTAACGGAGATAGCTACCTAGCTACAACCGGAGTTAACTGTGCACAACACCGGAGCTTTTGAGTCAGAGATACGCCGGGCTGACTGCTGGGTAAAACCGGGTGGAACACAGAGGTCTCCCGAGAGCTCCACAAGCCGGCAGCCCGCGCAGCAGACAGGCGCCGCTGCGATCAGAGATGCGCCAAGCTGACGCTGAGGGGAGGGGACCATTCCAATAGTCGGAATCCAGCTCCACCAACATGTTATATTTCAACCCATTTTCAAAAATGCAGCGTCATGTTAAATGCACTGGGTTTTACCCTATTACATTTAAATTTTATGGTTAAACAGTACATGGTGCTTCCGGTCTGTAACAAGATGGCGCTTGTGCTTGGCTTAGCCGCAGTCACCGTCCACTTTTTCAAACGTTTCTCCACTAACCTCCTCTTTTCCACCTTGCTCCTGTCTGTCTGTGTCTGTGAAATCAGGTGTGTTGAAACAGAGTTAAAACCAAAACATGCTGGATACTATCCCCTAAGCCATGATCAGTCTTTGTTTTCAGGTCATGTGAGAGTTGTTTTTAGACCTACATGTTGCTACTCTTTAGAGAATATTCAAAAAGGAGGTAAACTTACAATTAAATACTCTAAATACTCTTTCTCATAAGTGGATTTACCTGTGTACGGAGGTCAAGGGTCACAGAGCTTAACAAACCAATTCTGAGTTCCAATAATTTGTTCTACAGGTTTTGGAATAAATAAATAAAATGACAACAGTGCCCAAATGTATGCACCTGCCAAGTTTTGTTTAAACATGTATTGCACACTTTCTGTAAACCTTTGTTTCACTTCTCAAACATCACTCTGTGTTTCCTATATGTTACATTTAACTGAAAATCTCATAACAACCAACGATTTATAGGAAACTCATGAAGATTAACAAGACTGCCCAAACTTTCACACCCAACTGAAGATGGTCTCTCAGTCTAAGACGAATCACTGAAATAAATGACCCTTTGCACGATATTTAGGATCACGTGACCTGTAGAGAAGGCAGCTGTCTCCAGGGGCACCCAGTGGGCGTGGTCACACCGGTCAGAAGAATTAGGATGGGGCGTGTAGACTTTTCTCCTCATTAATAACATTAACTTTAAACAGCTGGTTGTGTGTACTTATGTTGTTGTTGACTTATATTTAAATTTGTTTGATGGTCTGAAACACGAAAGTGTGACAAACATGTAAAATGAACATAAAAAAACAAGAAATCAGGGATTTTTTCCACGCTAGTTCCACGTGACCAGTTGAGATGACGTCAGTGTCGAAGCAGCAAAGTTTAATGGCCGAGAGTTTTACGAGTAGTTGTTGCTTTTCCATTTGGTTGTAATCGGTTTCAGGTCCGGACCGGATTAGTCCTACGGGCACCCGGATGACAGGCTCGCTACAAGACGGTAATCAGAATACTTTATCGTCATATGGAGAAGAGCAACAGGATGATTAGTTTTCCCTGCATCTATTACAGCAGATAATAACAGATCTATTCATGAGATTACTTTAATATTCACTTATTGTGTTTAGGTCAGACTGATTCTGACCCAAATGTGCAGCTAAAGTGACTGTAGACGCATTTTATGTTTCAGATTAGGACTAAAATAGGAATATTTTTTGCTGTCAAGCCATCCCATAAATGTGAACATGCGGTCTGGATTTCTAGGCAAGTTGAGGAAAGCAGCAGCGCTGAGCTTCAGGGAAATCAGGACCGAGGCAGAAATCTTCACGGAGTCTGGGACGACTGTGAACAGCGACGTGCGCCCCCCGGTGGTGAGAACACAACAACAGAAGAGAGAGGAACCGGACAGGAGTGGAGGTGTGGATGAGATCAGATGGAGCCAGATAAGCTAATGAAGAGCTTTGACAGTGATGAGGAGATTTTAGATTCTCTGTTTAAGGGGAAGCCAGTGGAGTTGTTGCAGAGCGCGGGTGTTGTGATGGGTGGTTTGTGATAACAACACGTGCTGGTTCTGGAGGGATGTGCTGGGGAGCCCAAAGAGGTGGAGTCAGTCCAGGAAGTGACAAGGTTGTGGACGAGAAGAGAAGATTGCAATGAATAGATGGGTGCAATGACTGGTCGTATTCTTGTCAGTGATTGTTTTTATTTTATTTGTTTATTCCCCTTTGCACAGACATCACGCAGGTTTGTGCCACTCGGACAAAGAGAACTGAGTGGAGTTCTGTTTGTCAGGACCTTAGTTGGATCTGCTGTGGACCAGGACGAGAACAGCTGCTTTAGTGAAGATCTGGACATCTGCAATGGGGGACGCCTTTGGTTTGGTCTACTGTCTGGCTAAGGAGGAGGACTATGAGCAGGTCCTTCAGTAGCTATAGAAGTCTCTCCTCCAGGAGAATGTAGACATTTCTGATTTTCTGCTCTTGTGTTTGGGATCCAGGTCATGAAGATCTGCACTTCAAAGGACTACAACGGACTGGACTACCTGCCTGCCTTCTTTCACCGCTGGCTGAAGGAACCTGGACGGATCGTCCTCTTGGCTTGGATGAAAGACAGAGTGGTAAGGACGGGACATAGGTGATGGGTCTAGTAGGCTAGGGTTTCCTCATCTACTGATGAAATCTTGCTTTGACCTGCAGGTGGCGCTGGAATCTGCCTTGCTCGTGGATGGGGGTCAGACGGTTGTGTTTCAGGGTCGCAGGGTGGTTTCTGACCTCAGAGGCAGTGGCATCGCTGGCGTCCTCCACAGTCATGTGACCTCCTACGTCCGCAGTCAGTACCCAGAAGTCTGTGCTGTCAGAATGAGCCGAGGAGACCATCCTTCAGAACGAATCCTGTCTAAGTACAGACTTGTTGCTAAAGAGGTGAGTCTCAGTCTGCAGGACAACTCAGGTATGGGGTGGTCCAACCAGTCACTCCAATTATCTAGTTAGATAGGGACCAGACATCAGAGCACACAAACGCCCTCTAGTGGTTGGTAGTAATACAAACAAATTGTATTTATACTACAGATTTCTTGTACTGCTCCTCCTTCTACAGTATTCATTTTTTCCACAAATGATAGATTTAAACCTTCCGCTAGTTCAGGAATTTCCAGCTCTGCCTTTTGGACTTGATATATTTTACATTTTTTTAAAAAAACATTTGTGTCTTTGTGGATCGTTTTCAGTGCGTGAGAATTAAACAGAGTCCTTTATGTGGTGCAGATATTAAGTGTGTTCTTGTAGAGTTGCTGTGATGTAAATGTTTAGATGTGAGATCAGGTCAGAAACAGCTCTGAGAACAGTTCTGCGATCAGGTCAGAAACAGGTCTGAGATCAGATCAGAAACAGGTCTGAGATCAGGTCAGAAACAGATGTGAGATCAGGTCAGAAACAGGTCTGAGATCAGGTCAGATACAGGTCTGAGACTAGGTCAGAAACAGGTCTAAGATCAGGTCAGAAACAGCTCTGAGAACAGGTCTGCGATCAGGTCAGAAACAGGTCTGAGATCAGGTCAGAAACAGGTCTGAGACTAGGTCAGAAACAGGTCTAAGATCAGGTCAGAAACAGCTCTGAGAACAGGTCTGCGATCAGGTCAGAAACAGGTCTGAGATCAGGTCAGAAACAGCTCTGAGACCAGGTCAGAAACAGGTCTGAGACCAGGTCAGAAACAGGTCTGAGATCAGGTCAGAAACAGGTCTGAGACCAGGTCAGAAACAGATGTGAGATCAGGTCAGAAACAGCTCTAAGAACAGGTCTGTGATCAGGTCAGAAACAGGTCTGAGATCAGGTCAGAGATAGCTCTGAGAACAGTTCTGCGATCAGGTCAGAAACAGGTCTGAGATCAGATCAGAAACAGGTCTGAGATCAGGTCAGAAACATATGTGAGATCAGGTCAGAAACAGGTCTGAGATCAGGTCAGATCCAGGTCTGAGACTAGGTCAGAAACAGGTCTAAGATCAGGTCAGAAACAGCTCTGAGAACAGGTCTGCGATCAGGTCAGAAACAGGTCTGAGATCAGGTCAGAAACAACTCTGAGACTAGGTCAGAAACAGGTCTGAGATCAGGTTAGAAACAGGTCTGAGACCAGGTCAGAAACAGATGTGAGATCAGGTCAGAAACAGCTCTAAGAACAGGTCTGTGATCAGGTCAGAAACAGGTCTGAGATCAGGTCAGAGATAGCTCTGAGAACAGTTCTGCGATCAGGTCAGAAACAGGTCTGAGATCAGATCAGAAACAGGTCTGAGATCAGGTCAGAAACATATGTGAGATCAGGTCAGAAACAGGTCTGAGATCAGGTCAGATCCAGGTCTGAGACTAGGTCAGAAACAGGTCTAAGATCAGGTCAGAAACAGCTCTGAGAACAGGTCTGCGATCAGGTCAGAAACAGGTCTGAGATCAGGTCAGAAACAGCTCTGAGACCAGGTCAGAAACAGGTCTGAGACCAGGTCAGAAACAGGTCTGAGATCAGGTCAGAAACAGGTCTGAGACCAGGTCAGAAACAGATGTGAGATCAGGTCAGAAACAGCTCTAAGAACAGGTCTGTGATCAGCTCAGAAACAGGTCTGAGATCAGGTCAGAGATAGCTCTGAGACTAGGTCAGAAACAGGTCTGAGACCAGGTCAAATACAGCTCAGAAACAGGTCTGAGACCAAGTCAGAAACAGATGTGAGATCAGGGCGGAAACAGGTCTGAGATCAGATCAGAAACAGGTCTGAGATCAGGTCAGAAACAGGTCTGAGACCAGGTCAGATACAGGTCTGAGATCAGATCAGAAACAGGTCTGAGATCAGGTCAGAAACAGGTCTGAGACCAGGTCAGATACAGGTCTGAGATCAGATCAGAAACACGTCTGAGATCAGGTCAGAGACAGGTCTGAGACCAGGTCAAATACAGCTCAGAAAGAGGTCTGAGACCAGGTCAGAAACAGATGTGAGATCAGGTCGGAAACAGGTCTGAGATCAGATCAGAAACAGGTCTGAGATCAGGTCAGAAACAGGTCTGAGACCAGGTCAGAAACAGGTCTGAGACCAGGTCAGATACAGGTCTGAGATCAGATCAGAAACAGGTCTGAGATCAGATCAGAAACAGGTCTGAGACCAGGTCAGATAGAGGTCTGAGACCAGGTCAGAAACAGGTCTGTGATCAGGTCAGATACAGGTCTGAGATCAGATCAAAAACAGGTCTGAGATCAGGTCAGAAACAGGTCTGAAACCAGGTCAGATAAAGGTCTGAGACCAGGTCAGACACAGGTCTGAGATCAAATCAGAAACAGGTCTGAAACCATGTCAAATACAGGTCAGAAACAGGCCTGAGACCAGGTCAGAAACAGGTCTGAGACCAGGTCAGATACAGGTCTGAGATCAGATCAGAAACAGGTCTGAAACCAGGTCAGATAAAGGTCTGAGACCAGGTCAGACACAGGTCTGAGATCAAATCAGAAACAGGTCTGAAACCATGTCAAATACAGGTCAGAAACAGGCCTGAGACCAGGTCAGATAAAGGTCTGAGACCAGGTCAGACACAGGTCTGAGATCAAATCAGAAACAGGTCTGAAACCATGTCAAATACAGGTCAGAAACAGGCCTGAGACCAGGTCAGAAACAGGTCTGAGACCAGGTCAGATACAGGTCTGAGATCAGATCAGAAACAGGTCTGAGACCATGTCAAATACAGGTCAGAAACAAATCTGTGATCAGGTCAGAAACAGGTCTAAGACCAGGTCAGAAACTGATATGAGATCAGAGCCCCTCCCCCCACTGGTACTTGGACCCACCTGAGTTGATGCTGCAGCGCCCCGTCCCTCGGACGATGCAGAGTGGAGCAAATCCAAACACCAGAGTGATGGACAGCAGAACCACCAGAGCTCCCAGTTTTATCTCCAGAGCCGGAACATCAGCTGGGTTTACCGGCAGTGCCACTGCTCCCCCGCGGAACTGGAGGGCTGAGGAGGAGCTTCCACCTGCCGCCAGCATCATTCAGCTTCTCCGGACCCCCTCAGTCAGACAGGCTTAAAACATTGGTCCAGACAAGATCAGAATCTGTCAGGAGAAACATGAAACACATAGGCAGAGATCCCAAGGGGACGCACCCATTAACCATACAGATGTCTCCCCAATAATCACGGTAAACAACACATATATATTCAATGACATAGTATTGCCCAATCAAAGCAGAGCACAAACGATCCACATCCAAACAATATCTCTTTAATTGTTGAAAGATTGTGACCACCCCTTAAGGTGAGCAGAAAAGTGAATTGCTGAGGAACCATCGACATATATACATATGTCATATGTATGAGGAACATTAAAAAAAACACAAAAATTGTTGCTTTTCTTAGAACCTCCACATCAGCACTGTGAAAAGCAAAAAGGAAACCATGCTGAAGTTAGTTTTAAGTGACAGATCTCCATCCTGGTTCAGGTCCGATCACAGCTAAATCAACAGATTTCATTTATAGTCACCTCAGGATGGTTCGATTAGCCAGATAACTTTCATATTTAATATTAATATTTTCATAGAAAAATTATGTTTTCTTTAAATGCTTCCACATCATGTGACTTTATTTTTAGATGATGTTCTCTCTCTTTATTGTGAAACGTTTACATAGATGTTGTAGTACTGTAGTACTACTGCTGTGGTACTTTATCTTTGTTTATGTAATGGTACATAATGTTGGTTAACATGCTGGAGGCCCACCCTGCAAGAGACATTTTTTTACATATCCCCCAAAAAGATTTGCTTTCTGAAATTTTACAGTAAATCCAGTCTGAGCCTCTGAGGATCCAGTTCAAGGATTCACAGGTTCTTCCTCTAGAGAGAACATCAGGAACTACTCATGAAATCTGGAAAAGCTTAGTTATTTAAAGGATCAGGGAACATGTTTAAACTTGTCCGCCATGACCTCTGATCCCTGACTTTGTTGGGCAGACAGGTGTTCTCGTCATCAGAGCATCTCTGGAGGAGAACCCGGACCAGGACAAGATCTGTGGAATGGATCAGATGGATGTTAACGGGAACTATCTACATTCTGTCAGAGAAACCAGAAGAACCTCTAGATCTGACCCAGAATCTGCACCTGGACCCAAATACAAAGAGCAGCAGAACCAGTTCCATCCAGTAAACCCAGAAGTTTCAAACAAAAACGCTTCAACGAGGACCGATTGATCCACTTTACGCCCAGAATCAGAACCAGGGGATCTTTTAATCTGGAAACTCCTCCGACAAACATCAAGCGAATCGATAAGACACGAGGCCCCTGAGACCCGACGTTGGACCTGAGGCGAGACTTGCCAGGTGAGAAGGACCAGACACGTGGCCTACCTGCTCCAGCCGCGTCCCGGTGAGTCCTCTTCCCGTTACTGGGAGTTTGTCCGGGAAGTTCTGATTCAGTTCCCATCAGCTGATCCCGCCAGCTGTCACGCGAGCCACAACACCACGCACTTCCTGTCTTCAAACTAAAAGCTTTTCCAAATTTTGTTTTTTTCAGCAAATGAATATTACCTGCAGATGCCTTTTGAAACTTTGTGACACACATGCACGCGCCAGAAAAATTTATTTCGTGTTCAATTAAAAAGTCGAACACATCTCAGTTCAATTAATAAAATACATCTAAAATAAATTGGTTTATTATTGATCTGACAGAATCAACTAGAATGAACTTACGTAGAATGAATTTTGACTCAGAAAAGTGAAGCTCAATGTGATACGTTAAACAAAATAAATATAATTGTAACTGAATTTATCAAATGAAGACTGATGAGTTGAATGTGTGCTTTTATTTTGGTGGTCACAGGCCTTGTTTCCGGTGTAAGTATGTTTAACTTCTTTCAGCTAAAGTAGGAGTCGCGCTTCATCACATATTTACTTAAGAGTCAAAGGTCAAAGACATGAAATGATTCAGACCAAAGTTTTCAGCTGATGATGAAGGTTTGAACATCATCATCAGCTGGTTCTGAATCAACATATGTCTTCAGTCTTACAGCAAAAACACCCAGATGATCTTTATTCTGAGGCTGAAGGATTTAGTCGTTTCATTTCGAGAATGTTGATATAAAGTTCATTATGAAGCAACCAGTTGGTTTTATAAAACGGCTTAATAAGAACTGTAAGTTATGTGAAACGTGTTGACTGCATTATTATTGTTGAAGCAGAATTCTGTTATCACCACTATGGGGCGCTCGTCTGCTGCTCAGGTACGCCTTCAGAAAAACAGAACCTACAGAAATCTTCTAGTCCTGGGTTCTCTGTTCCAAACCAGAATCCTTCAGACCTCTAACCCGAATAACATCTCTTATAAACGTTGGCAGAATAACAAACAAATAAACATTTGAAGCTTAAAAAAAACATGATCATGTTCATTCAGCCATCCATCTTGGACATGTGTATTTGCTCTTTTTCAGACGCACCGACTGGGGCGGTAAATGGCTAAAAGGTTGACTAGCATGAGCGTTTTTAGGCCATTTTTGGGGGGTGCCGAAGCACCCCGAAAATGTGAGAATTTAAAACATTTAGTTTTACTATATGTTATTTTAAAGACAATTGTAAAATATAAAAAGCATAGTGTGCTTGGTAGAAACGTTAAATTTCAACAACAAAAAATCCTGATTCTTCCAGCTCAGTTTTTGTCATCTGATCCATTTTAGTGATGAATTTAAATTTCTCAGACACAAGCCAAAGATTGGAAAACCTGTCTGATAGCTCTTGCAGGATGGTGTCAACAATGACATTGAAAACCGTGCACCTAAAGTGTATTTCGGGTTCTTCTCCGTGATGAGCATTGCTGGAATTGTCATCTTGGTAACTCTTTTGCTTCTTAAAACATCTCTGTTTGAATTCTGGAGAAGCATCCATTTCAACTGCTATCCTGCTTGCAATTACAAGTGACTTTTGGTAGCCCTCTTCTCTATAATTGAGTAAGAACGTTTTCAGAGAATCAATTAGGCTAATAGCTGTGTCAATTGAGACATCTGCTGCCTGTAGGGCCTTGCTTGCAAAGTTTATCTCTGACAATAAGTCATACCAAATGAGGAGGCACACAAGAAACTCCCTCCTTACAATCTCATCAGACAGTGACTTTGCCTCTGAGACAATTTTGCTGTCTCCTGCCACTTCTGCAAGTTCATAGAGCATCTAGAATCCCCCCAACTGGAAACATACAGCTTTGACTGAGTCTAGCTTTGCTTCCCACCTGGTATCACTCAGAGGTTTCAGTGTGATGTCAACAAATTCTGTGAGAATGGCCACCTCTTCACTGAAGAGGAACACATAGTGTACAATCTTTGAAGAGTGCCAAAGAAGGTCAGATACTCTCTATTAGATGAAGCTGCATCACACATCAAAAGGTTCAGGCTGTGGCTACAGCAGGGACTGAACAGAGCCTCTGGACATCTCTGTTGTATCAAAGCTTGGACACCCTTGTTTATCCCTCTCATATTAGAGCCACTGTCATAGCTTTGGCCCCTACAATTAGCCAAGTCCAACCCCAGACTATCCAGCACTCCTGTCAGTGTGTCTGCAAGGCCTTTCCCAGTTGTGTCCTTCACAGCCGTGAACCCCACAAAAGACTCATTAATACTGACATTCTTCTTCTCATCAGTATGAATATACCGTATGATAACTGAGGCCTGCTCTTGCTTTGAAATATCAGGAGTGCAGTCCAGTTCCACTGCAAAGTACTTGGAGGCTTTAATCTGGGCACAAATTTTACTTAAAACACATTCTGATATTGAATCCAAAAATTCATTCTGAGTGCACCAAGACAGATATCCGGTGTTTTTTTGTTTTTTTTTGGAGGCAAGTTTTTCTAAGATGCTCTGCCAGTGTGACATCATACCTTAAGATGAGCTCATGGATACCTAGAAAATTTCCATTTTTAGGATTTCCTAGCTGCGCATTTTTTCCCCTCAGCGGCAGTTTCTTTCAGCAAGGAAGAGTATGCAGTCAATCACTCGAGTCAAAATACTTCTCCAGTGTGTCTTTTCAGCGGGCGTGGCTCTCTGTAATTCACAATCAATAGTTTTACCTATGCGTAAGCGAGATGCCAATTCTTTCCACATCAGATTGTCATGATGTGGTGTGGGTGGCGTCGGACCATGTGTGGTGGAGCTGATCAGGAGGCAGGAATGCAGGCATGGATAACATAAAAATGGATTTAATAGCAGGATACGGCAGGATACAACAAGAACAACATGACAAACAACAATGATCCGACACTGACACATACAAGACGGGAGGTATAAATACACAGGGAAACAATCAGGAACACATGGGCAGGTTAACAAAAGGCAGGTGAGACCAAAAAACTAAACAGGAGGCAGGGGAGAGTCACAGTCAGAGGGAGGCAGGAGCAGATCGTGACACAGATAAGCATTTATGTGATAACCACTAGTTTCATGGTGCATCAGGGTTTTTGAAAGACACTGCCAGTTGTTATAACCCGTCACAAGGCGTGTGTCAGCAACTCTAGCTTCACCAAAAAGCTTACAAGCAAAACAATAGACTTTTAGTACTTTTGGAGTACAGTAACCAATCCCGTTCCACTTTCTCTCCATTGGACAGTAAACGAAAACAGTGTGCTTTGGAAAAACACCGTTTACTCTTCTCTGATCTTGGATATGGCCCACCAGGACATTTCGGTGGGCCATTCTGAACCATGTACTGCCTCAATGTGTCCCCAATTTCATGTGGTGAAGGCCATTCAGATGGATCTTTTAAATAAGGTCTTTCACCAGCCCTCTCCTCTGCACTTCTCTGTTCCTCTTCCTCTTTATCATGTTGACCTCTTTGTTCTTCTCCCTCTTCTTTGTGTAGACCTCTATGTTCTCTCTCTCCTTCATCATGTGGATCTCTCTGTTTCTGTCCCTCTTCTTCATCATGTAGACCTCTCTGCTCCACATTCTCCCCCGTAGTCATTGACTTGCCTTGTCTGCCTGCACTTATTTTTCTTAAAGGACAAAAAGATGGTCAGTAAAATTCTAATCATACTAGAATTCCAGGTTTTTAATGGCCATTCTAGTATATGTATTCCTATCTGTCATGGTCTCAAGCATTATTTAACAGCTATAAATTACCACTCTTGAAAATGCACTTGATCATTATAAATAATATTTAAAAATTGATCACTTGGTATTAAGTGAGTGTTCACTTCCACCTAGTATTAGACCAACCTGTTGCCTTCCTATCTCTGTTCTGATTCTTTATATCTCTTTTTTCTTCTTTCTCTCCATCCGCACATCTGAATAATAAGAAATTTGAATTTAGAAATATTAAAAAAATACAAGTCTCAAACTACATATAAAAACATTATGTTTTAGTTTAAAATTGCAGGAATTTAAGAGCAAATCTGAAGTGCATCACCCAATTCAATAATTTATCAGTATTATCACTCAACATCCAATTAAACAAAGGATTACTGTCAGAAAAACTAAATAACCACCCCTGGTTCCTTTATTTTTCTTGTGATTATCTATTACGTATTTTTTATTAGATCTAGCTGAATCAACCCCCCCCCCCCCCCCCCCTCACCACCACCACCCCCGCTGCTCTCACGGAGATCCGACTACTCCCAGAAGCCTGTGTGAGATTAAAACCCTGATCTTGTGGTCCATACAGAACACCCGTAACCTGTCATTTTACTAGAGGCAGGCTAGCAGCTTCAGCTAATAGAGCTAATAGGAATAATGCCTTCTTGCGAGATGACTCTCCTACTGTCTTTCAATCACTTAGAAAGGTTTTTTTTCATCCCTACGAAATCATTTTTCCCTTTCCCTCTTCCGTTTTTTTTGTGCCCAGGAGAGCTTTTTTTCGGACTTTCCATCTCTAGCTAACCTTGCTAGCTGATCAGATGACAGTAGATATCATTCAAATGAAAACACTCGCGCCCCAGCGCTTAATCGCGGGCGCGCGCGCTGGACTCCTCAAGAGTGTTCACGTTCTGTGTGTGTGTGTGTGTGTGTGTGTGTGTGTGTGTGTGTGTGTGTGTGTGTGTGTGTGTGTGTGTGTGTGTGTGTGAGTGTGGGGCGGCAGGGCTGCGGTGGGGCGCCCAATCGCTTGCTTCTGTTAATAATTATTTAATTTACACATGCACAATAGCTATGCAACACAAAAAAGCCCTTCCCCCCCATCAATGCTTAAGCGCACCCTCCAGCGCGGTGCCCCTATGCGTCGCATACACTGCATACCCACTTTTGGCGCCACTGACTGGTAACTTTAACAACCGAGCGTCTGCGTCGTTTTGGCTGCGCACGCGCACTTAACGCTTGCACTTAATTGAGCAGCCCTCCTGGCCCCGCCCCCTTCCACACGTCACGTGAACAGCGTCTGCGCCTCTCTTTATGACGTCACAAAGCCTCAAACTTCATTACCGTCATATACCTTGACCAGCGTCGGATCAGTCACAGTTCACGCCTCAGAGCAAACAGGTAGCATGGAAAACCTACATCATCCTCATATAGAACCACTGAAAGAAAGGGAGAGATTGTTAATAAACTTATTTAATGTGGAACAAAAACTCAAAGATTTGAAAGAGCGCTTTGTAAGAGAGACTGAGCGTTCTGCTGCAGAGAAATTAGAGCAACTGGACACTTATGAAGAGGAGTTAGAAAAATATGATCTTGATTTAATTTTAGTAAATAGAGATGCCAAAGATACAATTTTAGCCCATAAGCGTAATTTAAGTAAACAGGGGCATTTACTTTGGGAACTCGAAGAGGAAAATAAAGTCCTGCAAAATTACAAATTACAACATGAAAACGAAGCCCTGGAGGAGAAGATTTTAGATGACTGTCTCTCAAAAATTAAATTAGTACCAACCTTAGAGTTAAGAGCAACTCCTATGAAATTAAACCAAATGCCTAGTCGTAAGAAGGACTGGATTTTAGGTGCTATCTCACAAAATAAACAAAAAATTAACAAACTGGAAGCCCTGAAGTGTTCAAATCAAGAAGGCTCGTCAAACCTAGAGGAACAGAAAAAGAGAGAGAATCAGTTCCAAGACTATTTGTTGGCAAAATACCGGCATTTACCATTAGATGTTAAGGAGGAGTCTTGCTCTGCGATTGACAGAATAGAGTATGTAGACTCAAAGTTAAAACGGTTAGATAAAGCGAGACTTTCAGCTCTCAAGCAAAACTCAGCGGCGAAAAATACGTTGAGAAAGGAATTGACTGACATAGAGGAAGAAAACATGTCAACTTATCAAACAAACGTTGTTCGGAGAACTAAGGGTGAAGTTAAAAATGAACCACGCTTAGACTTACAAGGAATACCAATGAAATTAAGGTATACAAGTCATAGGAAGTACTTACCTTAAATCTGCATCACGCCCGGCATTCTAAACCCTGGGTTCGAAAATTTTAAAATCAGTCCTTCAAACACAATTATTCATTGATGGCATGTACTTAGAGACAGATACAGGAACATGGACATTGTAAAACCACGTTCACATGTTTGTAGCAAGATGCTTTTAGCCATAGCTAATTTACAGCACTTTAGATGGGCTGTTAAAACAGTCGAAAGAAGTTTATAATCTTGTTTTTCATCGTGGGCATGCTTTGCTGTCCACTATAGTAAATTGCGAGGGGGTGGGAGGGAAGCTAATGAAGAAACCAGTTTTTAGCATTTCATCGTATTTGTTTAGGTAAGTTCACACGTTTGGCTGCAATAACAGAGAAGGGCGTAAATTCAGCTTGTCTTTCTGTTCAATACATTTCTTGGACTCACCACTTGTGAAAGGAGCCAAAGATGTTGGGTGCAATGTGTGATGTAGCCGAAGGAGAGACTCTTCGGCTGGGAAGGGAACGCTTTGGGAATTCCCCCGAAAGAGCTGGCCCAAGTGGCTGGTGAGAGGAAAGTCTTGGCCTCCCTGTTTAGGCGACTGTCTCCGCGACCTGACCCTGGATAAGTGGCCAAAAATGGATGGATGGATGAAACTTTGTTATGGCGCTTACACAGTAGCGTCGGCACGGCCCCAAAAGTTACCGAACGGCACCAGAATTTGGCTTCGCACACAGGTCAGATTCACGTTTTCGGTGCCGAGGCAACTCTTTTTTCAGACCTCCTCCCCAGCGGTCAGACTGGGACCGAGGCGACACTACCAACTGATTGGCTAGCTGAAATTATGCCTACTGCCTTTGATCTGCCAGCGGGGGGGGGGGGGGGGGGGGGGGGGGGGGGTCCGCATGCGTGGTTCATTTTTACTGAACACGGTACATGAGAAAATAAAAGGTAAAAACATTAAAGTAGAAAACAAATGGGTAAAACAAGACATAAAGAGACCAATGAAAGCAGGGAATTAAAATCAACATAAATGAAGCCGGCGGCTAACAGATAAGTGTGTAAACCAGTGGGAAGTGTGGTGGTGGTGGTGGTGGGGGTGGGGGTGGGGGGTCACAAGACAGCGTTTCCCTGCCGTAGACGAGGACTGCCAGGTCTCCGATGTAGCCTAGTTGTCTTTAGATTGGCTGTTAAAATAGTCGAAAGAAGCAGGAGATCCATTTTCTGCAGCTGGAATAGCCAGGATTTAGTTCTGTCATGCTAGGTGGCAGAAAGACCGTTTACACACTTTGGAACTTATAAGAAACTTTTGAAGAAGCCAGTCTTTAGCATTTCATCATGTTTATTTAGGTAATTTGACAGTCAAATGTTAATAGTCTGCTGAGCGGTTGACTGCGCTAACAGATAAGTGTGTAAACCAGTGTGAAGTGGGGTGGGGGTTGGTTGCCCAAGGCGCTGAACACGGTACATGAGGATAAAAAAAGGTAAAAACATTAAAGTAGAAAACAAATGGGTAAAACAAGACATAAAGAGACCAATGAAAACAGGGAATTAAAATCAACATAAATGAAGCCGGCGGCTAACAGATAAGTGTGCAAACCAGTGGGAAGTGTGGTGGTGGTGGTGGTGGTGGGGGGGGGGGGGGGGGGTCGGGGGTCACAAGACAGAGTTTCCCTGCCGTAGACAAGGACTGCCAGGTCTCCGATGTAGCCTAGTTGTCTTTAGATTGGCTGTTAAAATAGTCGAAAGAAGCAGAAGATCCATTTTCTGCAGCTGGAATAGCCAGGATTTAGTTCTGTCATGCTAGGTGGCAGAAAGACCGTTTACACACTTTGGAACTTATAAGAAACTTTTGAAGAAGCCAGTCTTTAGCATTTCATCATGTCTACTGCGCTAACAGATTAGTGTGTAAACCAGTGGGGGGGGGGGGGGGGGGGGGGGGCAAGGCGCTGAACACGGTACATGATGAAAGAAAAGGTAAAAACATTAAAGTAGAAAACAAATGGGTAAAACAAGAGATAAAGAGACCAATGAAAGCAGGGAATTAAAATCAACATAAATGAAGCCGGCGGCTTACAGTGGGAAGTGTGGTAGTGGTGGTGGTGGTGGTAGTGGTGGTGGTGGTGGTGGGGGGGTCACAGGACAGCGTTTCCCTGCCGTAGACGAGCACTGCCAGGTCTCCGATGTAAACTGAGTGACTTGAAGTCCGCAGAGAGTTGAGCTTCTGTCTGGGGACTTTGACTCTCCTGACACAAGAGACACCTGCAAAACAATTAGCCACACTGATAAAGTCAAAATCGTCAGACATTTTGACCGACTTGCCAAAATAAATTACTTTTTCAAAACCAAACACTTCACACTCTCTGTTGACAATTCTATCTGAGTATGTATGTAACAGATGTATTCTGATGTTTTATAATAATTCATAATAATGATAATGATCTGGTGGTTTCCTGCCACCACAGTCATGTCCCTGGTGAATGATAGTGTATTACATTTTGTGTTTATGTATTTCAGACTTTTTAACATGGACAAATGTGTCCCTCACTGTCCTACACCTCTTCATGCAGTCCGACTCCTCACCTCTAAACTCATGTTTCCCCTACTTCTATGAATAAAACGATTGCTCGGTGTCATTGTAAACATTTATACTTTTGGACTTTTTCCGAGAGACTTTATTCAACCTGATACATACAAATTCAGAAGGTGTGAAAATGGTGACAACTAAAGTTTACACCACCACCCCTATTCTAGTGCAATACAAGCATTACCAAGTCAGCAGAGTCCACCTGAGGAGACGCGGGTGCAGAAAGTTGCAGTTCTGATCTCGCTGGTGTTCGTACAGGTGTTTGCACGAGTGTTGATCTGGCAGATGCACTGCTTGAGATCAATGACAATAGCTCAGATATGTCTCGTAAGTTCTGCCCGACTGCTGGAAGCTCTGTTGAGAATGAAGATATAAATAATTATTTAAAAACATTAAAGCCCCATGTCTGCTATTTAAGCAAACGCTCAAACCATACAAAAAAAAAAACAAAGTCAGTCATTTTTTGTGCAACTTTAAGATAAATAAAATCCTAATCTAGTTATCTTGTCTCTACATGAAAAGACTGATCATATAAACATACCTTTCATTGCTTCTATTGGGTGTTTAAAGTTGTCTTCTTTCAGCCTTTTATTCTCGGCTATTAACGGCTTTATTTGCCTTTGTGCCTTGCTCCAGTTCCTGGATGGCAGCTCGTCATCTGATAACTCCTCATATTCGGTTGGGGACTGCAAGACACAGAAATCAACACCAAAACACACACAACATGTTAGTGTCATGTGTTTCAGACACAAGTAGCATGTTTACAACTACTGCTTGTAAACATTCAAATGTGATAAATTACCTCTAAATCTTTTTGTCTTGCCATCAGATCCTTCTTCAAGTCTTCAATCATTTGGTCTGCAGCCTCTTTTGAAGGACAGGATGCCGTTTAAAATTTTTGCTGCAAAATTTCAGAGTTTATAGTATATGAGCATTGATGCAAATTATAATACATGTGCTAAAAGGAAATATTTAGTACTAGAATACTCAGAGTATAGTGATACAATAACTTTTTAAGTTTTTTAAATAAAGGTTTCAAAGCAGTTCATAGGAATATATGAATATTATCATAACATAGTTTGTAAAAGTGTCACTTATTTAAGGTGTTGTATGCAATTGCACTCAATTAATTTGAGAGCTGTCCATTTCCACATCTTTTAATCAATTAATTTACCTTTTTTGATTGTTGACTCTCTTCCTCATTGTCCATCCACCTGCTGTTGGGCTTTATCTTCCTCTTTCCTCCCCTGTCTTCCTCTCTTTTCCAGATGTCCTCACCCTTTATGAAAGCCTCCCTCTGTTGGCACAGGTCAGTGTAGTTGTCTATGAGAAAAAGATTATTGGTATAATAAACAGACGATGAGTAACTGTGATAAAACATTTCACCCTTTAACCAAACAGAAGCATTGAGGAGCCATAAACATATTTTTTTCTCATTTATAAAATATTGAGCCTACACTTACATATAATAGGTTAAAATTAGGAAAATGTTACAGGGTGTGGGAAATGCAGAGTAAAAGATTTACCACTTTTCTCACACCATCAAACAAGTGAGCATGGTTGACAGAGCTTGGCTGTGAATGCAGTGACGTGCGGTGAGGTTCAGGACTGGGGAGGCACTGGCTGGAGTGGACTGGAGTCAGACTTACAAATACACAATCCCCGAAGCTTCTATTGATAGAATGAGACTAGAGGCGTTCATCTCTGCCTCCAGTCTGATGGCGCAGCGCCTCACAATAGAAATGGGGCTTTGGCGCGTGCGCCCTGCCATGTGCGCAGGAGTGAGAGCAAGGTAGCTAGTTCATCGCCTCCCCTTGGGCTTAAGTATTTGATCAGGAAACGGGTAAATTTCTGCAATTTTGACCATAAACATGTTGAAATCAAACATAAACCAGGCAGTCAGTGGACACATTGATTTCCTACTATATCATTATTGGTCTAAATAGTCACGATGACTGCCTTCCCTACTCATGATAAATGATAAATGACCCGCACTTGTATAGCACCTCTCAGAGTAAGGACTCCAAAGCGCTTTACACTACAGTGTATCATTCATCCATTCACACACACATTCACACACTGATGGTGATGAGCTACAATGTAGCCACAGCTGCCCTAGGGCGCACTGACAGAGGCGAGGCTGCCGAGCACAGGCGCCACCGGTTCCTCCGACCACCACCAGACCACACGTGACTGCATGAATGGAGAGAGTGATGGTTAAAAACATATATAACTTATTTATGTCGTGTGTTACCCTATCAGTTAGTGTGACCGGCCAAAAATGTTTAGGTAACAGACAAGATAACATTTATAAGCTAGGTGTATATCCTGGTTCACAAAACCCACGATAGCCATAACTGTAACTGCCTTCTGTAATCTTGTAAATAACATGTCTGTGTAGCTAAAACAAATATAACTGTAATTTTTTCAGTCTCTTGCCCAGCACTCCCTTGAAAATGAGGTTTTTAATCTCAAAGGGACCTTCCTGGTTAAATAAAGAATAAATAAACAAGGCTAAAATTGATATCATGCATGCACAGACACACACACACACACACACACAAACACACACACACACACACACACACACACACACACACACACACACACACACACTGTCTATAAACAGAACCGCTTTAAGCTTTTTAGTTTTCTACCACTAGTTTTTAAACAAACACGTTTAAAACTTCGTAGTTCTCCCCATTTTCTCTTCCTGTTGAAAAACCACAGCCGGCGCGCAAAGCATGCTGGGATAGCCTTGTTCTGTGAGAATACGTTTTCTGCATGTAAACGAGTACTGTGGTAAAAAATGTGGTAAAGATCTCTGTCTGAAAGTGACCAATCACATTAGGGAAGGCGGCTCCTTGGAACCCGCCCCCCAAAGTGTGAAAAGTGAAACTTGTCCGATAGAGCGGAATTTCTACTCGAGAGCAGAGCAGGCTGCGCGAGCGTGTTTTAACAGTTCCACGCGCGTAGTACCCACACTTACGAGTGACAGGAACAATTGTCTGTGTGTGACTGGATACAATCTGCTCTCGGGTCTTTGTAAACACGTGCAAGGTGCTTTTTCGCACTCGCGGATAGTTTAAAACACGCACGGAGGACATTTGGAGCGCTAGTGGATGGGAACTTGTCCTTTCACGGACGTTTAATTATCCTCTCGTGATTGTGCGTGCTCTCGCGAGACCTTATTGACATAAAATAGACTCCATATAATCCAACTTTAATTGGGTTGTAGCATCACACTTTATAGCGTAGCGACTGCAAATTTAAAGAGCAAGTAACGTCTAAATTACCTTTTTTTTCTGATAAACTTTATAAATGAGTGTCTAATAGTGTTTAAATGTGTGTATTCATTATTTTAGCATTTTGGTGCATTTTCTTTAAAAATTAAAAATTCTGCCTAAATACCACAGCATAGTGCCACCTTCAGCTTAAAACATAGAGTTTGAGTCATTTTGAATGTGGCAAGGTGGATGCACAAGGGCCCAGGCAGGATTTGATCCCCAAACTCCTGGGTGAGAGTCATACGCACTAACCAGTCAGCCAAAGGGACATCCGCTTGGCACAGTAGCCAGGGCGCATGATCAATCGGGACATTGTGACAGGACGCTCACACTGTCACATCAATACACTTTAGCCAATGGCTAAAGAGAAAGATACTACGTAAACCAGTAGAGTACTGCGTAGCAGCTCTGTGTCAAAGTTATAAAAGCATCGAGCGTCTCGGCCACGCCTTGTGGCGAGCTGGGAGTTGGATTTGCAAACGAGTGTAGGAGGTTAGCCGTAGTTCAGCGTTAGCATATAGCATTAGCATATCCTAATCTTTAGCATAGCTTTTAGTGTTATACATACTTATTTAGTGTTAGCTTGGCTGTTGGATATTGTAGTTTAGTTAGTGTTTCGCTGTTAGTGTTATTAGGAAAGTAGTTCGGGTTTAGTGTTCCATATCGTGTTAGTATGGTGAGAAGGTGTAGTGTAGTGGGTTCGGTGGCTCTGTGGGGTTGCACTCCTTTCCACTGGACTTAGAAATTAGGCGCCACTGATTGCGCGCAATCGGTGTCTGGAAAACAGTCAGCTCCCGCCTGGTGCTGTAGTTTGCAACCAGCATTTTACCCACGATTCCTTCGCCAACATGATGGAGTTTGAACTGGGTTATTCTGCGTGCCTCCGTTTGAAGAGGGAGGCCGTGCCCACCGTGGCCAATAAGATGTGATGATTCCATCTAAATATTAAATATAAACCTGATTGATCTTTGAATGTTTAACCAGAATAGTTTAGGGTTTTTGCTTGTTCAGGGACCATAAACACACTTCGTGTTAATTCAGGAAGAGTCAAGTATATTGTTAAAAGGGATTTTATTCTTGTCTAAACTAATGATAATACACGACAAGCTATGAATAACGAAGTGATGGAGTGTATATGCAGTGATGTAATGTGAGTTGTAGGCGGTGTGGTGTAAAGTAGATGTGTATCAGAACCTTTGTATCTGAAAGAGATTGTGAACTCTGGGTGTGAAAGAATTTGTTGTCTGCTATAAACTAGAGAGTTGATTATTAATAAAACAACATCAGACGCAATCTGTTGTGTCTACAAACCTTGATCGGAGATCCCCGGTCAGATCCGGAATGTCAGGAAGTCTGGTGGACCTCAAGGCACTGAAGTTCATAGATTAACTGCGGTGCGACCAGTCCGGTCTCGAATTGTCTCCAGGTCACAACAGGCAGAAAGGTTCATTGCGTCTAAAACGGATGTGTTCTCAAGGAGCCATATGGCTGTGTCAGCTGACAGTGTGCCAACCATCGACATATATATACTGGACAATTCGTGTCCACAGGCTCCAATTAAAAGTTTTTGTGCCAAAATGGGAGGTGGCTACCACCGCCATTTTGACTGTGTCACAGGTTCCGTCAAGCCAAGACAATTCCAAAAAAGGGAAAAGAGGTGGAGCTGAGGGTGGGGCTGTAAGGCTGGGATCAAATGACGACACATGATGAACTGAAGCGATGTAGCTACAAGCTAACCCAAAGCTAACGCAGAGGTGGGAGCTAAGCTAACGGAGATAGCTACCTAGCTACAACCGGAGTTAACTGTGCACAACACCGGAGCTTTTGAGTCAGAGATACGCCGGGCTGACTGCTGGGTAAAACCGGGTGGAACACAGAGGTCTCCCGAGAGCTCCACAAGCCGGCAGCCCGCGCAGCAGACAGGCGCCGCTGCGATCAGAGATGCGCCAAGCTGACGCTGAGGGGAGGGGACCATTCCAATAGTCGGAATCCAGCTCCACCAACATGTTATATTTCAACCCATTTTCAAAAATGCAGCGTCATGTTAAATGCACTGGGTTCTACCCTATTACATTTAAATTTTATGGTTAAACAGTACATGGTGCTTCCGGTCTGTAACAAGATGGCGCTTGTGCTTGGCTTAGCCGCAGTCACCGTCCACTTTTTCAAACGTTTCTCCACTAACCTCCTCTTTTCCACCTTGCTCCTGTCTGTCTGTGTCTGTGAAATCAGGTGTGTTGAAACAGAGTTAAAACCAAAACGTGCTGGATACTATCCCCTAAGCCATGATCAGTCTTTGTTTTCAGGTCATGTGAGAGTTGTTTTTAGACCTACATGTTGCTACTCTTTAGAGAATATTCAAAAAGGAGGTAAACTTACAATTAAATACTCTAAATACTCTTTCTCATAAGTGGATTTACCTGTGTACGGAGGTCAAGGGTCACAGAGCTTAACAAACCAATTCTGAGTTCCAATAATTTGTTCTACAGGTTTTGGAATAAATAAATAAAATGACAACAGTGCCCAAATGTATGCACCTGCCAAGTTTTGTTTAAACATGTATTGCACACTTTCTGTAAACCTTTGTTTCACTTCTCAAACATCACTCTGTGTTTCCTATATGTTACATTTAACTGAAAATCTCATAACAACCAACGATTTATAGGAAACTCATGAAGATTAACAAGACTGCCCGAACTTTCACACCCAACTGAAGATGGTCTCTCAGTCTAAGACGAATCACTGAAATAAATGACCCTTTGCGCGATATTTAGGATCACGTGACCTGTAGAGAAGGCAGCTGTCTCCAGGGGCACCCAGTGGGCGTGGTCACACCGGCCAGAAGAATTATGATGGGGCGTGTAGACTTTTCTCCTCATTAATAACATTAACTTTAAACAGCTGGTTGTGTGTACTTATGTTGTTGTTGACTTATATTTAAATTTGTTTGATGGTCTGAAACACGAAAGTGTGACAAACATGTAAAATGAACATAAAAAAACAAGAAATCAGGGATTTTTTCCACGCTAGTTCCACGTGACCAGTTGAGATGACGTCAGTGTCGAAGCAGCAAAGTTTAATGGCCGAGAGTTTTACGAGTAGTTGTTGCTTTTCCATTTGGTTGTAATCGGTTTCAGGTCCGGACCGGATTAGTCCTACGGGCACCCGGATGACAGGCTCGCTACAAGACGGTAATCAGAATACTTTATCGTCATATGGAGAAGAGCAACAGGATGATTAGTTTTCCCTGCATCTATTACAGCAGATAATAACAGATCTATTCATGAGATTACTTTAATATTCACTTATTGTGTTTAGGTCAGACTGATTCTGACCCAAATGTGCAGCTAAAGTGACTGTAGACGCATTTTATGTTTCAGATTAGGACTAAAATAGGAATATTTTTTGCTGTCAAGCCATCCCATAAATGTGAACATGCGGTCTGGATTTCTAGGCAAGTTGAGGAAAGCAGCAGCGCTGAGCTTCAGGGAAATCAGGACCGAGGCAGAAATCTTCACGGAGTCTGGGACGACTGTGAACAGCGACGTGCGCCCCCCGGTGGTGAGAACACAACAACAGAAGAGAGAGGAACCGGACAGGAGTGGAGGTGTGGATGAGATCAGATGGAGCCAGATAAGCTAATGAAGAGCTTTGACAGTGATGAGGAGATTTTAGATTCTCTGTTTAAGGGGAAGCCAGTGGAGTTGTTGCAGAGCGCGGGTGTTGTGATGGGTGGTTTGTGATAACAACACGTGCTGGTTCTGGAGGGATGTGCTGGGGAGCCCAAAGAGGTGGAGTCAGTCCAGGAAGTGACAAGGTTGTGGACGAGAAGAGAAGATTGCAATGAATAGATGGGTGCAATGACTGGTCATATTCTTGTCAGTGATTGTTTTTATTTTATTTGTTTATTCCCCTTTGCACAGACATCACGCTGGTTTGTGCCACTCGGACAAAGAGAACTGAGTGGAGTTCTGTTTGTCAGGACCTTAGTTGGATCTGCTGTGGACCAGGACGAGAACTGCTGCTTTAGTGAAGATCTGGACATCTGCAATGGGGGACGCCTTTGGTTTGGTCTACTGTCTGGCTAAGGAGGAGGACTATGAGCAGGTCCTTCAGTAGCTATAGAAGTCTCTCCTCCAGGAGAATGTAGACATTTCTGACATTCTGCTCTTGTGTTTGGGATCCAGGTCATGAAGATCTGCACTTCAAAGGACTACAACGGACTGGACTACCTGCCTGCCTTCTTTCACCGCTGGCTGAAGGAACCTGGACGGATCGTCCTCTTGGCTTGGATGAAAGACAGAGTGGTAAGGACGGGACATAGGTGATGGGTCTAGTAGGCTAGGGTTTCCTCATCTACTGATGAAATCTTGCTTTGACCTGCAGGTGGCGCTGGAATCTGCCTTGCTCGTGGATGGGGGTCAGACGGTTGTGTTTCAGGGTCGCAGGGTGGTTTCTGACCTCAGAGGCAGTGGCATCGCTGGCGTCCTCCACAGTCATGTGACCTCCTACATCCGCAGTCAGTACCCAGAAGTCTGTGCTGT